TGAAAATGATATTGCATTGTGTTTGTTACTTTCGTTGCAGGATGTATGTCTTAAGTGTAATTTGGCATGCTTTTATTTTGAAGGCGAGTTCACGCTGTTGACAGGAAGTTGTTGTTGCTATGGAAACAAGAAAAGTTTCACAGCGGGCGGAACTTGTCATAAAGTCCGCGATAATAAAACCCACCCATTTAGAGGGAAGATATGATTGGTCAATTGTACTGTCAGTTGACATTACTCTCTCGTTCAGTTACTATAGCAACCCTCTGTGAATCGCAGAGAGGGCCAGGCGAGCTTCTTTCATGTAACCCCTCACATTCAAACAGAGACTGAACAGGCAGATTCGAAGGATTTATTTCTTTGGAAATGTTATTTTATTGAATCAAGTTTTTTTTCGGTAAAACTAATGAAAAATATAACAAAAATAATATTAAAAAAATATATATTTAAAAAATATATATATTTTTTTAATGTTTTTAAATATTATTTTTTGGAATATCTTAGGCCCTCACAGAGGGCCTAGAGGGCCCTGACGGCTCGCCACTGTAACTGATGCTGAGCGGCTAACCTCCTCGGGAGCAGGTTAGGTGGCAGGCTAAGAGATCAACTCAGTGAAAGCACCGCCTGCTGACCAATCAGAGCTCAGTGTGCAGAGTTTAAAGCGATCAAGTCATATTACAGGATAGAGGAAATACAGAAAAACTGCCGTTGCAGGAAAGACGGCCGGCAAAAATCACCTGACTGTGTGAACGTGAACATTAATAGAATATCCCCTCCCATCTTCAGAGCAATCTGACTATTATAACATTAGCGTTAAGAAAGCTTATAGATATCTGCCACGACATAAGTAACCGGATCAGAGTAACATTAAGTACAGTCCGCGGCACTGTGAGTGCAGACGTCGATGTGTCCCATTATCATTCATATCATATCACATCATAATGTATCATATATCTCCTTATCTGAGTCAGCTGTGCCGTATCTGGCCGTGCAACACTCACAGTGTCACATACTGGATGCAGAAGTATTATTTTAAGCAACACATTAAGTTGACGAAACACTCGAGTCAAATGTAATTAAAGTCAGATCGTGTCTTAGACGGAGCAGTGATATCATAAACCTGTTAATGTACGCATTCAAACACTTTTTCTGTTACCAGCTGTATTCACCTTGCAGGTGCAGCTATGTGGCTTTGATCCTGGATAAAGTGTTTAAGTCATGGATGTTTAAAGTTTAACTTCTTCATATTTGACTAATATTAAAGTTCACTTTTCATTCAGGAAGTATGACGCTGCGCTGTCAGTACGCTTGTCCATGTTTGAGATTGGTCGAATGCTCCAGATACCACCCCTTTCATGTGAATGCGCACCTAACTAGATAGGACACGGCTGGCTTGAGCGATCCACTTGATAACCAGCGTCGTAGTTCAGCTTAGCGAGAGCGCGTATGTTTTGGATTAGGCCAACCGGCTAACTCAAACATATCCAGGTTAGGAAAATCCGGCTTCGTAGTACAGGCCTCAGGTGTCTTTATAAAGACTCTCACTGTGTTAACGTAGACACAGGTCTGACCATCGGGGTTCAATAATAACTCATATGTAAACCAATAGCTAGCTAGATAGCTAACTTTCTCTAGCTAGCTTTTTAGATGCGTAGCTGAGTAGGTGAATAGTAAATAGATAAATCACTAATGTTCGCAAGCTTAATAGCTGAAGTTTGCTAGCCGAACAGCACACTGGCAAGTCAACATTTGGACTTTGTTCTCAAAATCTCAAAATGTTGACTTTTTTGTAAAAATATCAAAATTCTGACTTTTTTGTAAAAATATCAAAATGTTGATTTTTTTGTAAAAATATCTAAATTTAGATTTTTTTGTAAAAATATCAAAATTTAGATTTTTTTGTACAAATATCAAAATTCTGACTTTTTTGTAAAAATATCTAAATTCTGACTTTTTTGTAAAAATATCAAAATTAAAAAAATGTTGTAAAAATATCAAAATTTAGATTTTTTTGTACAAATATCTAGGTTTAGATTTTTTTGTAAAAATATCAAAATTCTGACTTTTTTGTAAAAATATCTAAATTCTGACTTTTTTTCCGAAATCTCAACATTTTGAAATTTTACTGAAAATGTCAAGTCTGAAACTTTTCTGAACATTTCAAAAGTCTGGCTCATATGTAAACATAACATTTTTTGAAAAAAGTCAGAATTTTAATATTTTTAGAAAGAAGCGTGTAAACAGAGAGTTTTATATCAGAGCTCATTCCCAGCTGAGGTGATGGGATGTTTCACAGCTTCCTCTGTTACTGACTGCAGGAGGACATCACAGTAACACCTGACATGAGGACATTTTGAATAACTCTGTAGAGTCTTGTGGTGAAGGTGCTCTGATATGAGGAGAGAAGAACCAGAGACATGGATCTATAGAAAGTCTCTGTGTGTGGACAGACGGCTGATGGTGAGCTGCTCTCTCTGTGTGTGGACAGACGGCTGATGGTGAGCTGCTCTCTCTGTGTGGACAGACGGCTGATGGTGAGCTGCTCTCTCTGTGTGGACAGACGGCTGATGGTGAGCTGCTCTCTCTGTGTGGACAGACGGCTGATGGTGAGCTGCTCTCTCTGTGTGTGGACAGACGGCTGATGGTGAGCTGCTCTCTCTGTGTGGACAGACGGCTGATGGTGAGCTGCTCTCTCTGTGGACAGACGGCTGATGGTGAGCTGCTCTCTCTGTGGACAGACGGCTGATGGTGAGCTGCTCTCTCTGTGTGTGGACAGACGGCTGATGGTGAGCTGCTCTCTCTGTGTGGACAGACGGCTGATGGTGAGCTGCTCTCTCTGTGTGGACAGACGGCTGATGGTGAGCTGCTCTCTCTGTGTGGACAGACGGCTGATGGTGAGCTGCTCTCTCTGTGTGGACAGACGGCTGATGGTGAGCTGCTCTCTCTGTGTGTGGACAGACGGCTGATGGTGAGCTGCTCTCTCTCTGTGTGGACAGACGGCTGATGGTGAGCTCATCTCTCTGTGTGGACAGACGGCTGATGGTGAGCTGCTCTCTCTGTGTGGACAGACGGCTGATGGTGAGCTGCTCTCTCTGTGTGTGGACAGACGGCTGATGGTGAGCTGCTCTCTCTGTGTGGACAGACGGCTGATGGTGAGCTGCTCTCTCTGTGTGTGGACAGACGGCTGATGGTGAGCTGCTCTCTCTGTGTGTGGACAGACGGCTGATGGTGAGCTGCTCTCTCTGTGTGGACAGACGGCTGATGGTGAGCTGCTCTCTCTCTGTGTGGACAGACGGCTGATGGTGAGCTGCTCTCTCTGTGTGGACAGACGGCTGATGGTGAGCTGCTCTCTCTGTGTGGACAGACGGCTGATGGTGAGCTGCTCTCTCTGTGTGTGGACAGACGGCTGATGGTGAGCTGCTCTCTGTGTGTGGACAGACGGCTGATGGTGAGCTCATCTCTCTGTGTGTGGACAGACGGCTGATGGTGAGCTGCTCTCTCTGTGGACAGACGGCTGATGGTGAGCTGCTCTCTCTGTGGACAGACGGCTGATGGTGAGCTGCTCTCTGTGTGGACAGACGGCTGATGGTGAGCTGCTCTCTGTGTGGACAGACGGCTGATGGTGAGCTGCTCTCTCTGTGTGGACAGACGGCTGATGGTGAGCTGCTCTCTCTGTGTGTGGACAGACGGCTGATGGTGAGCTGCTCTCTGTGTGTGGACAGACGGCTGATGGTGAGCTCATCTCTCTGTGTGTGGACAGACGGCTGATGGTGAGCTGCTCTCTCTGTGGACAGACGGCTGATGGTGAGCTGCTCTCTGTGTGGACAGACGGCTGATGGTGAGCTGCTCTCTGTGTGGACAGACGGCTGATGGTGAGCTGCTCTCTCTGTGTGGACAGACGGCTGATGGTGAGCTGCTCTCTCTGTGTGGACAGACGGCTGATGGTGAGCTGCTCTCTGTGTGGACAGACGGCTGATGGTGAGCTCATCTCTCTGTGTGTGGACAGACGGCTGATGGTGAGCTGCTCTCTCTGTGTGTGGACAGACGGCTGATGGTGAGCTGCTCTCTCTGTGTGGACAGACGGCTGATGGTGAGCTGCTCTCTCTGTGTGTGGACAGACGGCTGATGGTGAGCTGCTCTCTCTGATTAACAGATTAGCCTCAGCCTGGATTAGAGATGCTCCAACATGGAGGACAGACAACAAGCAGTGAGAGAGGAAAGTGTTCAGACGTAACAGCCATTATTTACCACAGAGAAGAAGAAGGGGTGTACTTAAAGGTGGGGTAGGTCATTTTGGAGAAACCAGCTCGAGTGCGCTAGAATTTGAAAATACACAACCGGAACAACAAATGTGCCACTTCCTCACAGAGCCCCTCCTCCAACACACACGAACGCGCACATGACCAATGAGGGCACGAGATAAGTTTGTGCACAGATTGAAGGCTGACAGGCAGGTAGGCCATCCAGTTATTTTAGCCGGGCCGGCTCAGATGATTGGTCGTGCTTTTTACAGTACTACAGCTTCCACAGATGATATTTATTTATGGATTTTTTGTCAAAGCACTTAAGATATTCATTGCTATTGGGATGTTAAGAGCATTCCATGGAATATAACAACAAGTGTATCTCGAGCCGGTTTCTCAAACTTACCTACCCCACCTTTAAGTAAATGTACTTTGTTACTGTCCACAATCTGCCTAGAAGTATTTTAATGTTGTAGCTGTTCAATTGATGATCATTTTAAAATGTTTTAAATATATACTGTTAGTAGTTAAACCAATAATAATGCTACGGCTGCAACTGACAGTTAAGTAGGCACATTTTTATTTCATCTTAACGCTGTGTGATTAAAAGAATAAACACAAATAGCAGGATAGGCACACATATGTGCTATATCTTTCCCCACTGCAAAGGCACTGCACCGATACTGTTAACATATTGGCATAGTTCATCTCTGTGCTGCTTGGCTCGAGCTGTAGCATGTCGCTATTTGTTGTTTGTATATATCACGCAGTCTGTCTTCTGGTTGCCTCTTTTGAATGACGAATACACACTACCGCCGCCTGCTGGTAAGGAGAGTTATTGCCACTCACGCATGCGCAGTGCGTACGTGCTACTTGGCCGTCGGCTGAAGTCTTTGCGGTGTGTTCCAGTGTGACTGTTTGGCCAAGACGCAGGAGACGTGAGGCGACACAACAGTCGGGTCCGTCGGGACGTGTTCTTTGGTGTTTGTTTGGTGTGTAGGGCCTTTAGGGTTTGAGAGGTGTTTACCTGATGGTTTCAGAGGTGTTTACCTGATGGTTTCAGAGGTGTTTACCTGATGGTTTCAGAGGTGTTTACCTGATGGTTTCAGAGGTGTTTACCTGATGGTTTCAGAGGTGTTTACCTGATGGTTTCAGAGGTGTTTACCTGATGGTTTCAGAGGTGTTTACCTGATGGTTTCAGAGGTGTTTACCTGATGGTTTCAGAGGTGTTTACCTGATGGTTTCAGAGGTGTTTCAGAGGTGTTTACCTGATGGTTTCAGAGGTGTTTCAGAGGTGTTTCAGAGGTGTTTACCTGATGGTTTCAGAGGTGTTTCAGAGGTGTTTACCTGATGGTTTCAGAGGTGTTTCAGAGGTGTTTACCTGATGGTTTCAGAGGTGTTTCAGAGGTGTTTACCTGATGGTTTCAGAGGTGTTTACCTGATGGTTTCAGAGGTGTTTCAGAGGTGTTTCAGAGGTGTTTCAGAGGTGTTTACCTGATGGTTTCAGAGGTGTTTCAGAGGTGTTTCAGAGGTGTTTCAGAGGTGTTTCAGAGGTGTTTACCTGATGGTTTCAGAGGTGTTTCAGAGGTGTTTACCTGATGGTTTCAGAGGTGTTTACCTGATGGTTTCAGAGGTGTTTCAGAGGTGTTTACCTGATGGTTTCAGAGGTGTTTCAGAGGTGTTTCAGAGGTGTTTACCTGATGGTTTCAGAGGTGTTTCAGAGGTGTTTACCTGATGGTTTCAGAGGTGTTTCAGAGGTGTTTACCTGATGGTTTCAGAGGTGTTTCAGAGGTGTTTCAGAGGTGTTTACCTGATGGTTTCAGAGGTGTTTACCTGATGGTTTCAGAGGTGTTTCAGAGGTGTTTCAGAGGTGTTTCAGAGGTGTTTACCTGATGGTTTCAGAGGTGTTTCAGAGGTGTTTCAGAGGTGTTTACCTGATTGTTTCAGAGGTGTTTCAGAGGTGTTTCAGAGGTGTTTACCTGATGGTTTCAGACGTGTTTACCTGATGGTTTCAGAGGTGTTTCAGAGGTGTTTCAGAGGTGTTTACCTGATGGTTTCAGAGGTGTTTACCTGATGGTTTCAGAGGTGTTTACCTGATGGTTTCAGAGGTGTTTCAGAGGTGTTTACCTGATGGTTTCAGAGGTGTTTCAGAGGTGTTTCAGAGGTGTTTACCTGATGGTTTCAGAGGTGTTTACCTGATGGTTTCAGAGGTGTTTCAGAGGTGTTTCAGAGGTGTTTCAGAGGTGTTTACCTGATGGTTTCAGAGGTGTTTCAGAGGTGTTTCAGAGGTGTTTACCTGATTGTTTCAGAGGTGTTTCAGAGGTGTTTCAGAGGTGTTTACCTGATGGTTTCAGACGTGTTTACCTGATGGTTTCAGAGGTGTTTCAGAGGTGTTTCAGAGGTGTTTCAGAGGTGTTTACCTGATGGTTTCAGAGGTGTTTACCTGATGGTTTCAGACGTGTTTACCTGATGGTTTCAGAGGTGTTTCAGAGGTGTTTCAGAGGTGTTTCAGAGGTGTTTACCTGATGGTTTCAGAGGTGTTTACCTGATGGTTTCAGAGGTGTTTCAGAGGTGTTTCAGAGGTGTTTACCTGATGGTTTCAGAGGTGTTTACCTGATGGTTTCAGAGGTGTTTCAGAGGTACCTGATGGTTTCAGAGGTGTTTACCTGATGGTTTCAGAGGTGTTTACCTGATGGTTTCAGAGGTGTTTACCTGATGCTTGGATCAGTGTTCTCCTCTGTTCTTCAGAGAGCCTGACTTGTTGCACCTTAAGCATTTGGTACGGGAACAAAAACCTTCAATAAATAAAAAACCTTATAGAGAAAGGCTGACTTCCTGTTGGGTTTGCGATGTTCCTCCAAGAGGCTTTTCTGTACGTCTCAGCACGCTTCATATGTCCACCAAGTTTCATACGTCTACTTCACCGTTAAAGAGGGGGGCTTTTACTTTGAGAACTGAATGTGACCCGTCCCAGTGGTTCAGTGACCATCAGTTAATGCATGTGTGTGTGCAGGTGTATCTCACTAATCCCCCGTGTCAACCGACCTGGTGATAAACCTGATTCTGATTCTGTTGTTGATTTAATGTGTGAACGATACAGAGAGGTGAAGCTGTCATGTGTAACTGTTGGAGCGGTGAGCAGGCCGCTTGTTTCTGGGTATTTAGGAGTCAGGTGGTCTGTGAGGGGTTTTATTGGTTAAGAGGTCCTTGGTATGAAAACGTTTGAGAACTGGAGAGGGAATCTCCTTCTGTCTGCATGTGGATAGATCCTGTTGGTGCACTTTTCACGCTGCTATGGACGCTCTGCACTAATGTACTTTTCCCAAAGATATTGAAGTCTTAATGTGTGCATTGGGGTAGTGGTGGTCTAATGGATAGTGAGGTGGGCTGAAGATCGGAAGGTTGTGAGTTCAAATCCCGCCTGGAACACCACCACTAGTGCGCTCTTGAGTAAGGCACTTAGTCTTTAGTTACTCCAGGGAGAACGTCCCGGTCATTGGTCATTGACTTCATTGTCCTTGTATCTCCCTCCTCTCTCTCTTTCTGCAGCGTTAGAGACGGAGAGCACGAGTTCAGGAGAGGACGTCCTCGTCCCCGGCCCCCCCTCGCCCTCCCCGCCCCCACGCATATACAAACCCTGCTTCGTGTGTCAGGACAAATCCTCCGGGTACCACTACGGAGTGAGCGCATGCGAGGGCTGCAAGGTACACACACACACACACACACACACACACACACACACACACACACACACACACACACACACACACACACATACACACACAGAGTGAAAATAGCCCCTGAGAGTTTGCATAACGTTTGAGCCAAGAGGTCACAACCTTTGCACCTCTCTTAGGATCTGTAAGCCTCTTTGCTTCATCTAATCCCACACACACACACACACACTCACACACACACACACACACACACACACACACACACACACACACACACACACACACACACACACACACACATATAATCCATTGTGTGCTTTGATATCAGTGTGTGTTGTGTTGACCTCGCTCTGACTCTCAGAGGGGGAAGAAGTAAAAGTAGAAGTACTCAGATCTTGTACTTGAGTAAAAGTAGAAGTACTCAGATCTGGTACTTGAGTTAAAGTAGAAGTACTCAGATCTTGTACTTGAGTAAAAGTAGAAGTACTCAGATCTTGTACTTGAGTAAAAGTAGAAGTACTACAGTGTAAAAATGCTAAATGTCATATTTCAATCACTGGATTATATATGTGTTCATCACAGCTTGGATATATTAGCTGATCATCTGAATGAAGTAACTAGTAACTAAATAAATGTAGTGGAGTACAAATACCCCAAAGTGGTACTTCAGTACAGTTCTTGAGTAAATGTACTTCACCACATCAGTGTCTCTGATTGGTTGTTTTGAACCTCTGTATCTGTAGGGCTTCTTTCGGAGGAGCATCCAGAAGAACATGCTGTACACATGTCACCGAGACAAGGTGTGTGTGATCAACAAGGTGACGAGGAACCGCTGCCAGAGCTGCAGACTGACCAAGTGCCTGGAGGTCGGCATGTCCAAGGAGTGTGAGTCAGAGGGTGTGTGTGTGTGTGTGTGTGTGTGTGTGTGTGTGTGTGTGTGTGTGTGTGTGTGTGTGTGTGTGTGTGTGTGTGTGTGTGTGTGTGTGTGTGCGTGCGTGCGTGTGCGTGTGCGTGTGCGCGTGCGCGTGTGCGTGCGCGTGTGTGTGTGTGTGTAAGTGAGAGTGTGTGTTAATGTCTAAAATTGTCACGCAATAATAAAGAAGAGCAGGAGAGGAGCTCTGACTCCCCCTGGTGGCTGCTCCTGGTTATTACATCCATACATTAACCACCAGTATAACTTCCATGTATAATAACCAGTATACTAACCAGTATAATAACCAGTATACTAACCAGTATAATAACCAGTATACTAACCAGTATAATAACCAGTATACTAACCAGTATAATAACCAGTATACTAACCAGTATAATAACCAGTATAATAACCAGTATACTAACCAGTATAATACCCAGTATAACTTCCATGTATAATACCCAGTATAATACCCAGTATAATAACCAGTATAATAACCAGTATAATAACCAGTATACTAATACCCAGTATACTAATACCCAGTATAATAACCAGTATACTAACCAGTATACTAACCAGTATACTGGTTAGTATAATAACCAGTATAATAACCAATATAATAACCAGTATACTAATACCCAGTATACTAATACCCAGTATAATAACCAGTATACTAACCAGTATACTAACCAGTATAATACCCAGTATAATAACCAGTATAATAACCAATATAATAACCAGTATAATAACCAGTATACTAATACCCAGTATAATAACCAGTATACTAACCAGTATAATACCCAGTATACTAATACCCAGTATACTAACCAGTATAATAACCAGTATACTAATACCCAGTATAATAACCAGTATAATAACCAGTATACTAACCAGTATACTAACCAGTATAATACCCAGTATAATAACCAGTATAATAACCAATATAATAACCAGTATAATAACCAGTATACTAATACCCAGTATAATAACCAGTATACTAACCAGTATAATACCCAGTATACTAATACCCAGTATAATAACCAGTATAATAACCAATATAATAACCAGTATAATAACCAGTATACTAATAACCAGTATAATAACCAGTATACTAACCAGTATAATACCCAGTATACTAATACCCAGTATAATAATAACCAGTATACTAACAACCAGTATAATACCCAGTATAATACCCAGTATAATACCCAGTATAATACCCAGTATAATACCCAGTATAATACCCAGTATAATACCCAGTATAATAACCAGTATAATACCCAGTATAATAACCAGTATACTAATACCCAGTATAATAATAACCAGTATAATAACCAGTATAATAACCAGTATAATACCCAGTATACTAATACCCAGTATAATAATAACCAGTATACTAACAACCAGTATAATAACCAGTATAATAACCAGTATAATAATAACCAGTATACTAATAACCAGTATAATAACCAGTATAATAACCAGTATAATAACCAGTATAATAACCAGTATACTAATACCCAGTATAATAACCAGTATACTAACCAGTATAATAACCAGTATACTAACCAGTATAATAACCAGTATAATAATAACCAGTATACTAACCAGTATAATAACCAGTATAATAATAACCAATATACTAATAACCAGTATAATAACCAGTATAATAACCAGTATACTAACCAGTATAATAACCAGTATACTAACCAGTATACTAACCAGTATAATAACCAGTATAATAACCAGTATACTAATACCCAGTATAATAACCAGTATACTAACCAGTATACTAACCAGTATACTAATACCCAGTATAATAACCAGTATACTAATACCCAGTATACTAACCAGTATAATAACCAGTATAATACCCAGTATAATAACCAGTATACTAACCAGTATACTAACCAGTATAATAACCAGTATAATACCCAGTATAATAACCAGTATAATAACCAGTATACTAACCAGTATACTAACCAGTATAATAACCAGTATAATAACCAATATACTAACCAGTATAATAACCAGTATAATACCCAGTATAATAACCAGTATAATACCCAGTATAATACCCAGTATACTAATAACCAGTATACTAACAACCAGTATAATAACCAGTATAATAACCAGTATAATAACCAGTATAATAACCAGTATAATAACCAGTATAATAATAACCAGTATAATAACCAGTATAATAACCAGTATACTAATACCCAGTATAATAACCAGTATACTAACCAGTATAATAACCAGTATAATAACCAGTATACTAATAACCAGTATACTAATAACCAGTATAATAACCAGTATAATAACCAGTATAATACCCAGTATAATAACCAGTATAATACCCAGTATAATACCCAGTATACTAATAACCAGTATACTAACAACCAGTATAATAACCAGTATAATAACCAGTATAATAACCAGTATACTAACCAGTATAATAACCAGTATAATAACCAGTATAATACCCAGTATAATAACCAGTATACTAATACCCAGTATAATAACCAGTATACTAACCAGTATAATAACCAGTATAATAACCAGTATACTAACCAGTATAATACCCAGTATACTAATACCCAGTATACTAATACCCAGTATAATAACCAGTATAATAACCAGTATAATAACCAGTATAATACCCAGTATACTAATACCCAGTATAATAATAACCAGTATAATAACCAGTATAATAACCAGTATAATAACCAGTATAATAACCAGTATAATAACCAGTATAATAATAACCAGTATAATAATAACCAGTATAATAACTAGTATAATAACCAGTATAATAACCAGTATAATAACCAATATACTAATACCCAGTATAATACCCAGTATAATAACCAGTATAATACCCAGTATAATAACCAGTATAATACCCAGTATAATAACCAGTATACTAATACCCAGTATAATAACCAGTATACTAACCAGTATAATAACCAGTATACTAACCAGTATAATAATAACCAGTATACTAATAACCAGTATAATAACCAGTATAATAACCAGTATAATACCCAGTATAATAACCAGTATAATACCCAGTATAATACCCAGTATACTAATAACCAGTATACTAACAACCAGTATAATAACCAGTATAATAACCAGTATAATAACCAGTATAATAACCAGTATAATAACCAGTATAATAATAACCAGTATAATAACCAGTATAATAACCAGTATAATACCCAGTATAATAACCAGTATACTAATACCCAGTATAATAACCAGTATACTAACCAGTATAATAACCAGTATAATAACCAGTATACTAACCAGTATAATACCCAGTATACTAATACCCAGTATACTAATACCCAGTATAATAACCAGTATAATAACCAGTATAATAACCAGTATAATACCCAGTATACTAATACCCAGTATAATAATAACCAGTATAATAACCAGTATAATAACCAGTATAATAATAACCAGTATAATAATAACCAGTATAATAACTAGTATAATAACCAGTATAATAACCAGTATAATAACCAATATACTAATACCCAGTATAATACCCAGTATAATAACCAGTATAATACCCAGTATAATAACCAGTATAATAACCAGTATAATAACCAGTATACTAATACCCAGTATAATAACCAGTATAATAACCAGTATAATAACCAGTATAATAACCAGTATAATAATAACCAGTATACTAATAACCAGTATAATAACCAGTATAATAACCAGTATAATACCCAGTATAATAACCAGTATACTAATACCCAGTATAATAACCAGTATACTAACCAGTATAATAACCAGTATAATAACCAGTATACTAACCAGTATAATAACCCAGTATACTAATACCCAGTATACTAATACCCAGTATAATAATAACCAGTATAATAACCAGTATAATACCCAGTATACTAATACCCAGTATAATAATAACCAGTATAATAACCAGTATAATAACCAGTATAATAATAACCAGTATAATAATAACCAGTATAATAACCAGTATAATAACCAGTATAATAACCAGTATAATAACCAATATACTAATACCCAGTATAATACCCAGTATAATAACCAGTATAATACCCAGTATAATAACCAGTATAATAACCAGTATACTAACCAGTATACTAATACCCAGTATAATAACCAGTATAATAACCAGTATAATAACCAGTATACTAATACCCAGTATAATAACCAGTATAATAACCAGTATAATAACCAGTATAATAACCAGTATACTAATACCCAGTATAATAACCAGTATAATAACCAGTATAATAACCAGTATACTAATACCCAGTATAATAACCAGTATACTAACCAGTATAATAACCAGTATACTAATACCCAGTATAATAACCAGTATAATAACCAGTATAATAACCAGTATAATAACCAGTATACTAATACCCAGTATAATAACCAGTATAATAACCAGTATAATACCCAGTATACTAATACCCAGTATAATAATAACCAGTATAATAACCAGTATAATAACCAGTATAATAATAACCAGTATACTAATAACCAGTATAATAACCAGTATAATAACCAGTATAATACCCAGTATAATAACCAGTATAATAACCAGTATAATAACCAGTATACTAATACCCAGTATAATAACCAGTATACTAATACCCAGTATAATAACCAGTATACTAACCAGTATAATAACCAGTATAATAACCAGTATACTAACCAGTATAATACCCAGTATACTAATACCCAGTATACTAATACCCAGTATAATAACCAGTATAATAACCAGTATAATAACCAGTATAATACCCAGTATACTAATACCCAGTATAATAATAACCAGTATAATAACCAGTATAATAACCAGTATAATAATAACCAGTATAATAATAACCAGTATAATAACTAGTATAATAACCAGTATAATAACCAGTATAATAACCAATATACTAATACCCAGTATAATACCCAGTATAATAACCAGTATAATACCCAGTATAATAACCAGTATAATACCCAGTATAATAACCAGTATACTAATACCCAGTATAATAACCAGTATACTAACCAGTATAATAACCAGTATACTAACCAGTATAATAATAACCAGTATACTAATAACCAGTATAATAACCAGTATAATAACCAGTATAATACCCAGTATAATAACCAGTATAATACCCAGTATAATACCCAGTATACTAATAACCAGTATACTAACAACCAGTATAATAACCAGTATAATAACCAGTATAATAACCAGTATAATAACCAGTATAATAACCAGTATAATAACCAGTATAATAATAACCAGTATAATAACCAGTATAATAACCAGTATAATACCCAGTATAATAACCAGTATACTAATACCCAGTATAATAACCAGTATACTAACCAGTATAATAACCAGTATAATAACCAGTATACTAACCAGTATAATACCCAGTATACTAATACCCAGTATACTAATACCCAGTATAATAACCAGTATAATAACCAGTATAATAACCAGTATAATACCCAGTATACTAATACCCAGTATAATAACCAGTATAATAACCAGTATAATAACCAGTATAATAATAACCAGTATAATAATAACCAGTATAATAACTAGTATAATAACCAGTATAATAACCAGTATAATAACCAATATACTAATACCCAGTATAATACCCAGTATAATAACCAGTATAATACCCAGTATAATAACCAGTATAATAACCAGTATAATAACCAGTATACTAATACCCAGTATAATAACCAGTATAATAACCAGTATAATAACCAGTATAATAACCAGTATAATAATAACCAGTATACTAATAACCAGTATAATAACCAGTATAATAACCAGTATAATACCCAGTATAATAACCAGTATACTAATACCCAGTATAATAACCAGTATACTAACCAGTATAATAACCAGTATAATAACCAGTATACTAACCAGTATAATACCCAGTATACTAATACCCAGTATACTAATACCCAGTATAATAATAACCAGTATAATAACCAGTATAATACCCAGTATACTAATACCCAGTATAATAATAACCAGTATAATAACCAGTATAATAATAACCAGTATAATAATAACCAGTATAATAATAACCAGTATAATAACCAGTATAATAACCAGTATAATAACCAGTATAATAACCAATATACTAATACCCAGTATAATACCCAGTATAATAACCAGTATAATACCCAGTATAATAACCAGTATAATAACCAGTATAATAACCAGTATACTAATACCCAGTATAATAACCAGTATAATAACCAGTATAATACCAGTATACTAATACCCAGTATAATAACCAGTATAATAACCAGTATAATAACCAGTATAATAACCAGTATACTAATACCCAGTATAATAACCAGTATAATAACCAGTATAATAACCAGTATACTAATACCCAGTATAATAACCAGTATACTAACCAGTATAATAACCAGTATACTAATACCCAGTATAATAACCAGTATAATAACCAGTATAATAACCAGTATAATAACCAGTATACTAATACCCAGTATAATAACCAGTATAATAACCAGTATAATACCCAGTATACTAATACCCAGTATAATAATAACCAGTATAATAACCAGTATAATAACCAGTATAATAATAACCAGTATACTAATAACCAGTATAATAACCAGTATAATAACCAGTATAATACCCAGTATAATAACCAGTATAATAACCAGTATAATAACCAGTATACTAATACCCAGTATAATAACCAGTATACTAACCAGTATAATAACCAGTATAATAACCAATATACTAATACCCAGTATAATACCCAGTATAATAACCAGTATAATAACCAGTATAATAACCAGTATAATACCCAGTATACTAATACCCAGTATAATAATAACCAGTATAATAACCAGTATACTAATACCCAGTATAATAACCAGTATACTAACCAGTATACTAACCAGTATAATAACCAGTATACTAACCAGTATAATAACCAGTATAATAACCAGTATAATAACCAGTATAATAACCAGTATACTAATACCCAGTATAATAACCAGTATACTAACCAGTATAATAACCAGTATACTAACCAGTATAATAACCAGTATAATAACCAGTATAATAACCAGTATACTAACCAGTATACTAACCAGTATAATAACCAGTATACTAACCAGTATACTAACCAGTATAATAACCAGTATAATAACCAGTATACTAATACCCAGTATAATAACCAGTATAATAACCAGTATAATAACCAGTATACTAACCAGTATAATAACCAGTATAATAACCAGTATAATAACCAGTATAATAACCAGTATACTAACCAGTATAATAACCAGTATACTAACCAGTATAATAACCAGTATAATAACCAGTATAATAACCAGTATACTAACCAGTATACTAACCAGTATAATAACCAGTATACTAACCAGTATACTAACCAGTATAATAACCAGTATACTAACCAGTATAATAACCAGTATACTAATACCCAGTATAATAACCAGTATACTAACCAGTATAATAACCAGTATACTAACCAGTATACTAACCAGTATAATAACCAGTATAATAACCAGTATAATAACCAGTATACTAATACCCAGTATAATAACCAGTATAATAACCAGTATACTAACCAGTATACTAACCAGTATAATAACCAGTATAATACCCAGTATAATAACCAGTATACTAACCAGTATACTAACCAGTATACTACCCAGTATACTAACCAGTAACCAGTAACTGTACCATCTGCTCCAGGTGTTCCTGTGTTGTCTCATGTACCCAGAGATGATGCTCACATAGAGCTGCAGGAGATATTCAGGATGAACCAGATTAGAGTGATTTTCAGTGGAAACTGGAAATTCAAATCTAAAAACTCTAAGTCTTTATTATTATACAGTTTTTAAATCACTGAGAAGAGAACTGTATGTAAGATGTCCCTGCTGTAATCTAACTCTTCCTCCTCCTCCTCCTCCTCCTCCTCCTCCTCAGTGGTGCGTAATGACAGGATGAAGAAGAAGAAGGAGGACAAGCGCCCCCTGGAGGTTGAGGTCTACGTTTTGTCTGCAGAGACAGAGCAGATGATCGAGGGAGTGAGACGAGCTCATCAGGGAACCTTCCCCTCTCTGGAGCAGCTGGGGAAATACACCACGGTACACACACACACACACACACACACTCACACACACACACACACACACACACACACACACACACACACACACACACACAAACACAGAGACACACACACACACACACACACACACACACACACACAGAGAGACACGCACACACACACACACACACACACACACACACACACACAGAGACACACACACACACACACACACACACACACACACTCACACACACACACACACACACACACACACACACACACACACACAGAGACACACACACACACACACACACACACACACACACACACACAGACACACACACACACACACACACACACACACACACACACACACACACACACACACACACACACAGACACACACATCGCTAAGAGGTTGACCAATCACAAGAGAGCCGGCCAGCTAACCGATCAGAGCAGCTCTGGTTTCAGACAGAGGGTGAACAGAGGGGCTGCAGCACAGGCAGCATGAACATGAGAGGAGACGTGTGATTGGTTAAAGTTGAAATCACAGACTTCTGATGCATCCTCTCCTCTCTCTCTCTTGCTGCAGAACAACAGCTCAGAGCGACGTGTCTCTCTGGACGTTTCTCTGTGGGATAAGTTCAGCGAGCTCTCCACTAAATGCATCATAAAGACGGTGGAGTTTGCCAAGCAGCTGCCGGGCTTCACCACGCTCTCCATCGCTGACCAGATCACGCTGCTGAAGGCCGCCTGCCTGGACATCCTGGTGAGGACACACTGTGAACAACATACAATACAATACAATACAGCTTTAAAACCTCCACACCAAAGCGCTGTCCAGTCAAAGAAACAAAGAAAACTAATCCCACAGCTCAGCTCACACACCATAAAACAAGTACAAGTAAAAACAATCAACTATTTAAACGCAATAAAAGCAACAATCTACAAGATGTCAATACGCTAAGGAGAGTATGTAGTCTACAGGTGTACTGCAGTACTACTTCTACCTGTATTTACATGTAAGGACACTTTATACTGCAGAGGGACACATCCTACTTTTACTCCTGTACATATATCTCATCACACTTATGTAAAACCCAATCTCATAGGCGTCTCTACGATGTAAAGAAGTCTGAGATAGGCATGGATAAAAGAAGCAGAGTAGAAAAGAGAATTAAAGAATTGGGAGGGATGAAACCCTCTGTAATGGTCTCACATGCAGAGCACACAGTGACATGTGTTCTCTGCTTTTAACCCATCCTAGTACCAGGAGTCTAGTACTAGGAGTCTAGTACTAGGAGTCTAGTACCAGGAGTCTAGAACTAGGAGTCTAGAACTAGGAGTCTAGCACCAGGAGTCTAGCACCAGGAGTCTAGTACCAGGAGTCTAGTACCAGGAGTCTAGTACCAGGAGTCTAGTACCAGGAGTCTAGTACCAGGAGTCTAGTACCAGGAGCAGTGGCGGCTGGTGGAAAATATTTTAGGTGGGGCTGTGGAAATGGTGATCAAACAATACTAGAGGGGTCCGGGGGGATGCTCCCCCGGTAATTTTTTTTGAGAAAAGACCCCTTAAATCATGACTTCTGGTGATGTTAGAGGGGGGGAGAAGGACAATTTGAGGCTTAAAAATATGAGAAGACTGATCAATACCTCGATAACTTCAGTGTGGTTAGCTATGAATCTTCCAAAACTTCCAAACACCTTGTCCTGGACATAGTTTCTACAGCATAAACTGTGCAACAGTACAGTAGGCCCACACAAACTGCAGAACACCGGGGCTTTGGGAACACTGATTTAATTCCCATTTAACCTGTTAAGGGGCTTTTTTCCCCCGTTTTTTTTCTCACGAAACTGTGTCTCAGGGCTTCTTAAAATGTAATAAACTATTCATGTGTCCTACTCAGAGGAAACGCATCTAACTGATGATATGAACCATGTTTACCGAAACAAAACACAAGTCTCACAAGAAGCGTCTAAATGAGCCCTGAGCGAAAAAATGCTAACGCACTCTAGGTATAAATCAATCGATATACTTATCGGATATGCACAAACAAGCTTACAAGCTGAGATTCCACATATTCTAGAAATATAAGTATCATCACTGAGCGATCAGAACTCGCGACAGGGGAAGCAAATACAAACATCACACAACGTAGCTTTAGGTAGCAAAACATGGAGATATGCTCACCTTTTGCAGAATAACAATTCTGATCAAAAACGAGAAAAACGCAGCTGAAGGTTAATCCATAGGTTAATCCAATGTGTCTGTCACTTTGAAAAATGATTGATGATCCATAATTCAATTTTTATGTCAAAAACGGAGTTTTCATTAGCTGCTAATGGTAGCTTCCAGAGTGTATGACAGCTTCCTGTTTTGTCTCCTTGGATACGAGTCCAAACAACTCACAGACTGCACCGGGCGCTCACGGAGGAGCCCTGTGACCATCATATTTGACGCCGCTGATTGGCTGAAATTATGTTTTCGCGGCATAGTTTACACGTTACAGATAGCAACAGTCAGCTGCTAGTGGCTGCTGCTGCACTGGTTGAGGGCTCCTCTCTTAGCGCCCAGACGAGAGAAGGTACACGGGCAAGGCCAGGCAGGAAACATGTGACTTATCAGTAACTTTAGACATCGTAACACAATTTTAAACGAGATTTTATTGTAGATTATACATTTTACTGATACCAATTATATAATATTTACCTTGTTCATTAAAAATAAAAATAAAAATATATATATTTTTTTAAATATATTTTTTATTTTTATTTTTATTTTTATTTTTATTTTTATTTTTTAATATGGGAAGAGGTGGGGCGGCGCCCCTAGCGCCCCTATGGACCGGCCGCCACTGACCAGGAGTCTAGAACTAGGAGTCTAGAACTAGGAGTCTAGCACCAGGAGTCTAGCACCAGGAGTCTAGTACCAGGAGTCTAGTACCAGGAGTCTAGAACCAGGAGTCTAGAACTAGGAGTCTAGTACCAGGAGTCTAGAACCAGGAGTCTAGAACTAGGAGTCTAGTACCAGGAGTCTAGTACCAGGAGTCTAGAACTAGGAGTCTAGAACTCGGAGTCTAGAACTAGGAGTCTAGTACTAGGAGTCTAGAACTAGGAGTCTAGTACCAGGAGTCTAGCACCAGGAGTCTAGCACCAGGAGTCTAGTACCAGGAGTCTAGTACCAGGAGTCTAGTACCAGGAGTCTAGAACTAGGAGTCTAGAACTAGGAGTCTAGCACCAGGAGTCTAGCACCAGGAGTCTAGTACCAGGAGTCTAGTACCAGGAGTCTAGTACCAGGAGTCTAGAACCAGGAGTCTAGAACTAGGAGTCTAGTACCAGGAGTCTAGAACCAGGAGTCTAGAACTAGGAGTCTAGCACCAGGAGTCTAGTACCAGGAGTCTAGTACCAGGAGTCTAGCACCAGGAGTCTAGCACCAGGAGTCTAGTACCAGGAGTCTAGTACCAGGAGTCTAGAACTAGGAGTCTAGAACTAGGAGTCTAGCACCAGGAGTCTAGCACCAGGAGTCTAGTACCAGGAGTCTAGTACCAGGAGTCTAGTACCAGGAGTCTAGAACTAGGAGTCTAGAACTAGGAGTCTAGCACCAGGAGTCTAGCACCAGGAGTCTAGTACCAGGAGTCTAGTACCAGGAGTCTAGTACCAGGAGTCTAGAACCAGGAGTCTAGAACTAGGAGTCTAGTACCAGGAGTCTAGAACCAGGAGTCTAGAACTAGGAGTCTAGTACCAGGAGTCTAGTACCAGGAGTCTAGAACTAGGAGTCTAGAACTCGGAGTCTAGAACTAGGAGTCTAGTACTAGGAGTCTAGAACTAGGAGTCTAGTACCAGGAGTCTAGCACCAGGAGTCTAGCACCAGGAGTCTAGTACCAGGAGTCTAGTACCAGGAGTCTAGTACCAGGAGTCTAGAACTAGGAGTCTAGAACTAGGAGTCTAGCACCAGGAGTCTAGCACCAGGAGTCTAGTACCAGGAGTCTAGCACCAGGAGTCTAGTACCAGGAGTCTAGTACCAGGAGTCTAGAACTAGGAGTCTAGAACTAGGAGTCTAGCACCAGGAGTCTAGCACCAGGAGTCTAGTACCAGGAGTCTAGTACCAGGAGTCTAGTACCAGGAGTCTAGAACCAGGAGTCTAGAACTAGGAGTCTAGTACCAGGAGTCTAGAACCAGGAGTCTAGAACTAGGAGTCTAGTACCAGGAGTCTAGTACCAGGAGTCTAGAACTAGGAGTCTAGAACTCGGAGTCTAGAACTAGGAGTCTAGTACTAGGAGTCTAGAACTAGGAGTCTAGTACCAGGAGTCTAGCACCAGGAGTCTAGCACCAGGAGTCTAGTACCAGGAGTCTAGTACCAGGAGTCTAGTACCAGGAGTCTAGAACTAGGAGTCTAGAACTAGGAGTCTAGCACCAGGAGTCTAGTACCAGGAGTCTAGTACCAGGAGTCTAGTACCAGGAGTCTAGTACCAGGAGTCTAGAACCAGGAGTCTAGAACTAGGAGTCTAGTACCAGGAGTCTAGAACCAGGAGTCTAGAACTAGGAGTCTAGCACCAGGAGTCTAGTACCAGGAGTCTAGTACCAGGAGTCTAGAACCAGGAGTCTAGTACCAGGAGTCTAGTACTAGGAGTCTAGTACCAGGAGTCTAGTACCAGGAGTCTAGAACTAGGAGTCTAGTACCAGGAGTCTAGTACCAGGAGTCTAGTACCAGGAGTCTAGTACCAGGAGTCTAGAACCAGGAGTCTAGAACTAGGAGTCTAGAACTAGGAGTCTAGCACCAGGAGTCTAGCACCAGGAGTCTAGTACCAGGAGTCTAGTACCAGGAGTCTAGTACCAGGAGTCTAGAACCAGGAGTCTAGAACTAGGAGTCTAGTACCAGGAGTCTAGAACCAGGAGTCTAGAACTAGGAGTCTAGCACCAGGAGTCTAGCACCAGGAGTCTAGTACCAGGAGTCTAGTACCAGGAGTCTAGAACCAGGAGTCTAGTACCAGGAGTCTAGTACCAGGAGTCTAGTACCAGGAGTCTAGTACTAGGAGTCTAGAACTAGGAGTCTAGAACTAGGAGTCTAGAACTAGGAGTCTAGAACTAGGAGTCTAGCACCAGGAGTCTAGTACTAGGAGCAGTGGGCAGCTATTGCACAGCGCCCGGGGAGCAATGGGAGTGAGGGGGGAAGGGGGTTGTCCGGTGCCTTGCTCAAGGGCACCACGGCAGGGCAGGAGGTGAACTGGGACCTCTCCAAGTAGCAGTCCACACTCCATATTTTAGGTCTGTTCGGGGACTTGAACCGGCGACCCTACGGCTCCCAGTCCAAGCCCCTAGTGACTGAGACACTGCAGCAATGAGCAGATTTACACTTACCAAATGATATAAAGATGACTGGTTGTAAATAAATGTATGCTTCTAAAATACCCATGAATGCAAAACATTAAATGTAAATTAAACATATTTATAAAAAGACTGAAAGTAACATAAATGTGAACACATGGTTAATAAATGCTAAACATAGAAAAGTGAACAGGTACTTAGTACATGTAAAAACACCTGGTGTGTATTGACTGAGTGAACACAGGTAGAAGACTGAACAGCTCCACTCAGACACAGCTTTAGTTTCAGAGAGGTCTTTACTTTAAGGTTCAGGACACGGCACCAGGACAGACCAGGACAGACCAGGACAGACCAGGACAGACCAGGACAGACCAGGACAGACCAGGACAGACCAGAGGCCTGTACTACGAAGCCGGTTCAACAGACCCTGGATATGTTTGAGTTACCCGGCTTACCTAATCCAAAATAAACGGGTTTCTGACAGCGCAGCGTCATACTTCCTGAATGAAAAGTGAACTTTAATATTAGTCAAATATGAAGAAGTTAAACTTTAAACATCCATGACTTAAACACTTTATCCAGGATCAAAGCCACATAGCTGCACCTGCAAGGTGAATACAGCTGGTAACAGAGAAAGTGTTTGAATGCGTACATTAACAGGTTTATGAAATCACTGCCCCGTCTAAGACACGATCTGACTTTAATTACATTTGACTCGAGTGTTTCGTCAACTTAATGTGTTGCTTAAAATAATACTTCTGCATCCAGTATGTGACACTGTGAGTGTTGCACGGCCAGATACGGCTCAGCTGACTCAGATAAGGAAATATATGATACATTATGATGTGATATGATATGAATGATAATGGGACACATCGACGTCTGCACTCACAGTGCCGCGGACTGTACTTAATGTTACTCTGATCCGGTTACTTATGTTGTGGCAGATATTTAAGTCAGCTTTCTTAACGCTAATGTTATAATAGTCAGATTGCTCTGATTGCGTCTTTCCTGCAACGGCAGTTTAAACTGTATTTCCTCTATCCTGTAATATGACTTGATCGCTTTAAACTCTGCACACTGAGCTCTGATTGGTCAGCAGGCGGTGCTTTCACTGACTTGATCTCTTAGCCTGCAACCTAACCTGCTCCGGACCAGGCTAGCCGTTCAGCATCAGTTACCATGGAGATCTAGCCCGCTAAAAAGAGAACCAGCGTCGTAGGACCGGAAAGCCAGAGTTTCCCCTGAAGTCAGCTAAGAGAACATCCGGCTTCGTAGTACAGGCCTCTGGAAGCTGAAGCTGGTTCAGGAACACGTGAAGATCGAGGGCAACGGTTCCCAACCTGTGGGCCGCGGCCCCCTAGTGGTCCGCGAAGGCATTGCAAGTGGGCCGCCAAATATATTTTTTTTTTTGAAGACACAAACATGGACATAAGAATAACATATAGGAGATGACATTCCCGTCTCAGACAACAACAAACCAAAAACAGAAGAAATAAAGATACAGTCAGTAGGACACAAATACAAACAAAAACCACCAAAAACACAACATGGCATATTTATAGTTCCTTTAATCCCACTCTTCGTTGGAGCTCATTATTTCCCATTTCATGGTGTGTTGAGCCATTACTAATGTACTCTTCAAACACCTTCAATTAAGATTACTCCTTGATTGACTTTTAAAAATATGTATTTTAGCCAGAAGAATGGTTGTATTTATTAACTGTGTGCGGTCTTCAGCTAAAAGCCCAAATAAAATATTAAAGGGTGTAAATGTAAATCCAAGATTTGCCGCCAAATAATCTGCAAAACGTTATGATTTGTGTGGAAACATTTCATTATTAAGATTTTTTTTATTTGAACCTCTTTTCCTTTCTTTTTCTTGCTCCTCCTTAGCAACGGTCATTACAGTCCTTAGCAACGGTCATTACAGTCCTTGGCAACGGTCTGTTCTACTGGATTTACAACGTGTCACATGTTCTGAATCGACCAATCAGAACTTTATTTAGCTTCTGTATTGTTTATGATTGAATGTGGGCCGAGAAAACATTTTTAGATTCTTAAGTGGGCCCTGAGGGGGAAAAGGTTGGGAACCGCTGGTCGAAGGAAATACTTCTGGACCTCTTGAAGGTACAAAGAGGAACTGGCCCTGAAGGGAACACAGGGTGTCTCTCAATGTCGAGGACGCTTCCTTGGTAGGACATGTCCCTCCGAGTCAGGTCCATCAGAGACTAGGCAAGAATCCTTCCTTTCATTCGGAGAACGAAGAGTGGAACAGGCGTGCGTCATATGAGAGGCCCCGCCTTACATTTTCCGCCAAAGATTTTGGAAAATTGGTCCTTGCGCAAAGCATTGTGGGGATTTTAAGACCGCGGAGGATACACATATGCATCCTCGAAATTTCCCGCAACGAAGGATTCAGTCCTCGGTAGAATTCCAAGGATCCTGGACATTGGAACAGTCCTTCGGCGGGACTCGATGACGGAGCATCCTTGAAATAGTGGCTCTGAAGGATCCTTTCTCGACATTGAGAAACACCCACTGACTAAATACAAAGGGGGAGGGATGATCATTATGGACCAATTAGGGATGGCTACACAGGTGGGGGTCAATCAAGGGCAGGAAGTGAAGACAGGACAGTGAGAGGAGAGTAACACAAATAAAACAGGAATAACAGAATGACAACGGAAATGGTCTTAGTGATAAACATTAAACTAGTTAAATGGTTGGTGGGGGATTGGTTGACTGATGTGTGAATTGGTGAATTGATTGATTAATCAATGGTTAATGTGTTAATTTGTTAATGTGTTGATGTGTTGATGTGTTGATGTGTTGATGTGTTGATTGGTTGATTGGTTGATGAACGTATAACATCATAAACCTCTGAGTCCTTTCAGTGTGGTTAAAGACACGTTTTATCGACCCGCTCCATAGAAATGATGCAGAGAACTTAATATTCTCCCTTTAAGGCGCCGTTTACACGAGGAGAAAACTGCTTGTATCTGCATAGTTTTGCGTGCGTATAGCCCTATTATTTACACGAGGCCGATAGAAACTGACCCCACAAACGATAACGGGTCCCAAGGTGGATAGATTTGCAAACGAAACGCTCTGGGGGGTCAAACGAGTCCGTGTAATCACCTCGATATGAATATTTCCTGAAAAAATAGCGATAGCCCCACCTCTCCCCACCTCTCCCCACCTCTCCCCACCTCTCCTCACCTCTCCCCACCTCTCCCCACCTCTCCTCACCTCTCCCCACCTCTCCCCACCTCTCCCCACCTCTCCCCGCCTCTCCCCACCTCTCCTCACCTCTCCCCACCTCTCCCCGCCTCTCCCCACCTCTCCCCACCTCTCCCCGCCTCTCCCCACCTCTCCCCACCTCTCCTGCTCACTGCTGTAGCAACTATCAAAAATAGCTGTGTTAATTAAACGCACAAGGGGTTCTTGAATGAAATAATATTATAAAAGGCAAACCAGAATTGTTAACGCCCAATATACTCCTTAAACAAAATAAACAGAGTCAGATTTCATGCATTGATCCATTATATTGACAAAGGAGCGATCTTACCCGGTGTTTGTAGAGAATATCTCTCTTTCTGAGCGCGTCCTCTCCACAGAGACGTGCTTCTTGGTCGGTCGATGCAATATCCACAGATTCGATTTCTTTCAGTTAACTTCCCCGTTGCATTTATCCATATGCATTTATCCTGTCAGTAGCTACTGCTAGTGCTACTGCTACTGACCATGCTACAGATATTAGTGCAACATCTACAGCTCCTCTACCACAACCATCAGCAACAAGGACATGGAGAACTACATGAACTACATGTTGCTAAATACACCGCGGGGCATAAACAGAAGGGTAGCCATGGCAACATTGCGGCGGGGCTGCTCGGGCTGCTCTTCTTCGCTGCTTTTGGTGTATTTTGGCGGAAGTTACAGCGCCACTTACAGTCCCGGCATATGTACTACAGCGTTTCCAGCGGCCTCGTTTGAACAGACACGTTAAATGAAACGAATGCATGTGAACGGAAGACTTTTTTGAATACGCATACTGTGCATAAACGCAAACGTTCCCGTGTGAGTGGGGCCTAAGTCTAAACTCTGAACCTCTCGCCCCCCCCCCCCTCCCTCCCTCAGATTCTGAGGATCTGCACCCGCTACACCCCCGATAAAGACACCATGACGTTCTCCGACGGGCTGACTCTGAACCGGACTCAGATGCATAACGCCGGCTTCGGCCCGCTCACAGACCTCGTGTTCACCTTCGCCAACCAGCTGCTGCCGCTGGAGATGGACGACGCGGAGACCGGGCTGCTGAGCGCCATCTGCCTGCTCTGTGGAGGTACTGCACCTCATAGAGTATATATTAAAGTGGAGATGCTGTGTGTGGCTCGGCTGTAGCAAGCCGCCAGAGATGTTAAAGTGTGTGTGTGTGTGTGTGTGTGTGTGTGTGTGTGTGTGTGTGTGTGTGTGTGTGTGTGTGTGTGTGTGTGTGTGTGTGTGTGTGTGTGTGTGTGTGTGTGTGTGTGTTGCAGACCGTCAGGACCTGGAGGAGTCGGACAAGGTGGATGTTCTGCAGGAACCCATGCTGGAGGCCCTGAAGGTCAGACCCCCTCCTATCAGCATGTAGTATTTATAAGTATATATTTATATTTATACAACGATCCCCTCTGTGTGTGCAGATGTATGTGAGGAGGAGGAGGCCGGATAAACCCTGCATGTTCCCCAAAATACTGATGAAGATCACCGACCTGAGGAGCATCAGTGTGAAGGGTGAGACACACACACACACACACACACACACACACACACACACACACACACACACACACACACACACACACACACACACACACACACACACACACACACACACACACACACACACACACACACACACTGGGCTTCATGGTGAGAATGACACAATATGATATTTCTACACAAGTACCTCGATATCTGTTCGTGACGATGTTGTGCTTCCTCTCACGGAGTATTTTAAGACATTAATATTTCTACTTTCACTCAAGTGCAGGATCTAAGTACTTCTTCCTGTAGTTGTAAAGGTTTACCTCTTGTCTTTATGAACTCTATATACTTTATAAACCTCACTCTCTCCCCCCCCCCCCCCTCCTCCCTGTCTTGCAGGAGCAGAGCGAGTGATCTCTCTGAAGATGGAGATCCCCGGCTGCATGCCCCCTCTCATCCAGGAGATGCTGGAGAACTCTGAGGGTCTGGAGGGAGCTGGGGGAGGGAAGGGAGGAGGAGATAAGGGAGGGAAGGGAGGAAGTGGAGGAGGGAAGGGAGGAGGAGACGGTGGAGGAAGAGGAGGAACCAGAGAGGAAGATAAACCAGAGCTCCGTCTTTCACCAAAACCAGATTCCTCCTCCAGTCCGAGTCCTTCTCCTTGTTCCCTGTCCTCTCCTCCCCCCTCCAGCTGAAGGTCTTGACCCCTACCTGAAGGTCTTGACCCCCACCTGAAGGTCTACGCCCCCCAGAGGCATCACACTGCCATACACCCCTCCACAGCCCCGGCAGACTGAGAGCAGGAGGTGTGAGGCAGTGTGGGAGGAACAAAGAGCTGCCTCCTCCTTATTATTATAGGAGCCAATCAGAGCCCTGGGTTTAATGGGAGGAGCCAGGATTTGTTGATTCAGGTTTCAACGGAAGACTTTAACCCCCCACCAGGAAGTGCGCCGGACGTTGAAGCTAATTTCTGTAGTGGCCAAACGGAGGTACTACAACTACTGTGACGTCATGTTGGCCCAAAGATACTTTCCCCCATTGACTTCCATCGAAAAGTGAAGAGACGTCTGTAAATCAGAGGATCATTTTTCTGTAATAAACTCCCCAGCACGAGGCTTACTGCTTGGAGGCGGGGCTTAATGTTGGGGGCGGGGCTTAAGGGAAACTCCAGTGCTCTATGACTGTGAATAGATACAGAAGATCCTCGACTGAACACTCAGTCCGTTTATTTTCCATTTCTGTCGCCCATTCAACTGAAAGCCTCCGATTCTCAATCGTGGTTCTAGAGTCACTTTAGTGGGGGGGGCCGCGCTGGGACCAGTTCATGAATGAGAGGCACATTTAGTGCTGGAGACAGAGACAGAGTTACATTATGATGTCACAGCGTACAAAGACATAAAACACCATCATCGATTTTTGTGAATAACAGAATTTGTGTTAGAATTGTAGTAATTGACTTATGATGACTTACTTTACCCTTCAGTGAGCAGCGTGGGGAAATCAAGACATGCTTTCTGTTTCGTTGTTCAGGTGTGTGCTCAGTAACTGTTGAGACCTCAATCCACACACCCTGCTTCCTGCCTTCATACCCAGAGCTCTGATTGGCTGAGGTTGATGAAAGTCGTGTAAATGAAGGATTCTGAGGACGGTCTGATGAAGAGGAGCATTATGGGATGTATAGTGTTCAGAGTCAATATCTGTAATATATTGTAAATATAAAGATCACTGTGAGAGGTTTTCAGACGGAGCGGACTCAAACAAGAAGTTATTTTCCTAACTGTAAATGTGTACAGACTGTATCCCCCAAACACACCTGTACACCTCTATATACACACACACACACACACACACCTGTACACCTCTATATACACACACACACACACACACACACACACACACACACACACCTGTACACCTCTATATACACACACACCTGTAAACCTCCACACACACACACACATATCCCGTCACACACACACATCAGGGAACGATCCTTGATTTGTTTTTCTTCCACTAATAAAATGGAGACTTAATGAGATATGTTTCAGTGTCGTCGTTAAGAAAAGACGTGTTTAGATTTCAGACGTAGCTCAAAGAAATGACTTCACACCAAAAACAGTTTGACCCGACTCTGAAACAGAGCCCATGGTGCTCCAGCAGGGGTACACTTTAATGAAGCACCACTTCCTGTCACAGAGTGCAGTCGGGGGTCACTGCGTCCCTGCACTCCGTCTGTCAGGCACACACACACACACACACACACACACACACACACACACACACACACACACACACACACACACACACACACACACACACACACACAATAAAGAACATGATTTCTGCTTCTATCCTGAAGTGTGGCTGCTCTTTGTTGAAACACCTGTTGATTAAATATCTCAGACGAGTCAAAGGAACATTATTTGAACTTTTAACATTTTTCAGGAATTTATTGTTTTACCTTTTTCAATTTTTTTGATGAATGAAAGCTTTAAAGGCTGTGGAACAAGGTAAAGGTCTTTAAAGGAAAAGACGAGTGAAGGGAGGGAGGAAGGGAGGGATGAAGTGTTTATGGGATCTAAGAAGGGAGGGATGATTAGGTGAAGGGATGTAGGGAAGGAGGGATAAAAGGATGTAGGGGTGAAGGCATACAAGGGTGAAGGGATCTAGGAAGGGAGGGGTGAAGAAAGACGTAAGGAGAGAGGAGTGAAGGAGGGTGAAGAAAGACGTAAGGAGGGAGGGGTGAAGGAGGGTGAAGAAAGACGTAAGGAGGGAGGGGTGAATGGGTGCAGGGATTTAGGGATTAAGGGTGGAAGGGATGAAGCTGTGAATTGGAAGAGAGGCATAGTGGCCAGCATATGCAGTGAGTTTACAGAGCACAATATTCCTTTTGTCCAACAGAAGTGTCTCCAGGTTGTTTCTTCACTGAGGTGTGACGGAGCTCTAAGAGGCGCCTCGTCTCCTCCGTCACCACGGGGAAAACCTTGGCTCTTTCAAAGCCGTTGAAGTCGGTGCTCAGAGAGACAGAGTACGCCCCCATGTGGTGGACGAGCAGCCAGTCGCCCACCTGCAGCTCAGGAATCATGGCGCTGTCCGACACTTTATCAAAGCTGTCGCAGGTCGGACCCCAGACCACCGAGCAGTACCTCACCTCGCCGACCCCCACGGCCTACAGACAAGGATTTAAATATGAAATACAGACGAGAATTGACACCTTTATCATTCAGTATAGAGGAGAGCAGCGCTACAGTACGTCGTACCTTTGGATTACCTATACACTTCAAATGCAATGCAAAGAGAAAATAAATATCAATAAGATGTTTTTACTTAAGTGTATTGTGAATAACCAAGATATCTAGGCTCAGAAATGTGTCCTCTTATATTTAGGCTTTACAGAATGATCTGGTTTACAAACAGCAAACCGTTTTTCTGTTAAATGAACCTGGTGTCCACCTACTGCATTTAAAAAGTAAAAATGGAAGTTTTTCTAACACCCGCGATGAAATTGAGTTTGACCCCTCTGATGTAGACGGTGTGTATACGGTGTGTAGACGGGGTGTAGACGGTGTGTATACGGTGTGTATACGATGTGTATACGGTGTGTATACGGTGTGTAGACGGTGTGTATACGGTGTGTATACGGTGTGTAGACGGTGTGTATACGGTGTGTAGACGGGGTGTAGACGGTGTGTATACGGTGTGTATACGGTGTGTATACGGGGTGAATACGGGGTGTATACGGTGTGTATACGGGGTGTAGACGGTGTGTATACGGGGTGTATACGGTGTGTAGACGGGGTGTAGACAAGGTGTAGACGGGGTGTAGACGCGGTGTATACGGTGTGTAGACGGGGTGTAGACGGGGTGTATACGGTGTGTAGACGGGGTGTATACGGTGTGTAGACGGGGTGTAGACGGGGTGTATACGGGGTGTAGACGGTGTGAATACGGGGTGTAGACGGTGTGAATACGGGGTGTAGACGGTGTGAATACGGGGTGTAGACGGGGTGTAGACGGTGTGAATACGGGGTGTAGACGGGGTGTAGACGGTGTGAATACGGGGTGTAGACGGGGTGTATACGGGGTGTAGACGGGGTGTAGACGGGGTGTAGACGGTGTGAATACGGGGTGTAGACGGTGTGAATACGGGGTGTAGACGGGGTGTAGACGGGGTGTAGACGGTGTGAATACGGGGTGTAGACGGTGTGAATACGGGGTGTAGACGGGGTGTAGACGGGGTGTAGACGTTGTGAATACAGGGTGTAGACGGAGTGTAGACGGTGTGAATACGGGGTGTAGACGGTGTGTAGACGGTGTGAATACGGGGTGTAGACGGGGTGTAGACGGGGTGTATACGGGGTGTACACGGGGTGTAGACGGTGTGAATACGGGGTGTAGACGGTGTGTAGACGGTGTGAATACGGGGTGTAGACGGGGTGTAGACGGGGTGTATACGGGGTGTAGACGGGGTGTAGACGGTGTGAATACGGGGTGTAGACGGGGTGTAGACGGTGTGTAGACGATGTGAATACGGGGTGTAGACGGGGTGTAGACGGGGTGTATACGGTGTGTAGACGATGTGAATACGGGGTGTAGACGGGGTGTATACGGGGTGTACACGGGGTGTAGACGGTGTGAATACGGGGTGTAGACGGTGTGAATACGGGGTGTAGACGGGGTGTAGACGGGGTGTATACGGGGTGTAGACGGGGTGTAGACGGTGTGAATACGGGGTGTAGACGGGGTGTAGACGGTGTGTAGACGATGTGAATACGGGGTGTAGACGGGGTGTAGACGGGGTGTAGACGGTGTGTAGACGATGTGAATACGGGGTGTAGACGGGGTGTAGACGGGGTGTAGACGGTGTGTAGACGATGTGAATACGGGGTGTAGACGGGGTGTAGACGGGGTGTAGACGGTGTGAATACGGGGTGTAGACGGGGTGTAGACGGTGTGAATACGGGGTGTAGACGGGGTGTTCACCCTGTGAGGAAGCAGCTGGATGGGGGGGTGAGCCGGGTCGTTGACGATGCAGCTCAGGGATCCATACACTCCATCGTTGATGTAATACATCATCTGTCCACCAGGGCCGCTCTCCTCACAGTCTGGAACACACATTCAAGTTATTCAGAGGACTCACAATATGCAAACAGATGTTTAAATAACAGGAAACTTAAAGTAAATGATCCTTTATTCTATCCTTTAGCAATGTATCTGACAAGCTGACAGAACATGAGCTATGTATCTAACAAGCTAGCAACCGTTAGCTTTCTACCTTCAGAGTGATTATTTTAAAAACTTTGTTGAGATCATTTTTACTTTTCACACAGCTACATATTATATACAGCTATACATTCCCAAATATGAGTTTAGTGTAAAAACTAATTCAATGTTTGGATTCTAAAGTGTGACTCCCTCGTCTGAAACAGAAGTCAAAATAATAACAGTTTTTTTGTGGCAAGTTAAGGCTTTAGTTAAGGCTTTAGTTAAGGCTTTAGTTAAGGCTTTAGTTAAGGCTTTAGTTAAGGCTTTAGTTAAGGCGCCTCTGTATTTCTGTTGTTATTGATTATATTGTCATGTTTTGGGACTTTTGTTTTGTTTTAGTTTTTTGTGCTGCAACCTTGAGAGCCTTGAGAGCCTTGAGAGCCTTTATAGATCAAATCTATTATAATTATTATCAGCGTATGAAGGCGGAGGAGATACAGACCAATAATGTGGTTGGTATTAGAGATATAACACAATATGTTCCAGAAGGACCTGTAATGGTCCCGCCCTCCTACTGGGAAGTCATTACTTTTTGTTGAGGTATAACATACAGAGATATGTATATTCAGGGGTGCACATAACTTTTTTAGTGAGTTACTCAGATGAGTACCAAGAGACAGCGTTTGGTACTCACCCCACACGAAGCGTGGTCCTCCTCAGTGTCTCCTTCACTGTCCTCTATTTACACTTCTTGCATGCTAGATGATGAAGATGATGAAGATGCACCTCCCTGTCTCTTTTTAAGCCTCCGATTTGCTTTCTCCAAAACTTGTTGCCAAAACTGTGAAGTCCTTGCATTTCCTGAGGCCAAGTTGAAGGATCAAATACTAAGAAATGATCACATGACTTGAAGTCATATCTGATTTCAAATGTGGGAAGTAACAAAGCACACTTATTTACTCAAGTACAATTTTGAGATACTTGTAGTTGACTTGAGTATTTCTATTTTATGCTACTTTGTACTTCTACTTCTACTCCACTACATGTATTTAATACCTTTAGTTACTTCTCAGATGTGGATGAATGATGTGAAATATAACCAAGTGTTAAATCAGACTTTAGTTCCACCTGGAGTAAATCCACAAGCTACCCTGCAGTATACAAAGTCATTCAAACTAGCTGCACCTTTACCAGCTTTGAGAACACTTTCATGATCAATCATTATAAAACATATCATATATATTATTCTGAAATGGACCAATCTGCACAATGACTACTTTTACTGTCTCTACTTTCACTATATTTTGATAATACTTTTCTAATTTTACTTGAGTAACATTTTGAATGCAGGACTTTTACTGTAACAGAGTATTCCTACACAAGATCTGAGTACTTATTCCACCTCTGTCTGATTTCAAACTCTTCCATAACACCCTGAGTAAGTTTGCAGCTGTGTGTTTCACTCCACTTTGGTGTAAATAAAACTGCAGCAGCTTGACCACAGAGCGTGAACGTTGTGATCAGATGATTTTGCGCAGTTCTCCAGTGTGTGCGCGGGGCACAGAATGTGCACAGGGGAGTCTCCCACCGCAGCCAGTTGGCGGACTTTTGGCACAATTCTGTTGTTTATACCGACGTTAACCCTGTCTGTGCACACGGCGACCAACTCTGTCGTCCAGTGATCTAAGCCTCTGCCTCCTGGAAAGCTTCACAGGTCCGTCGGTTATGTCCTGCGCGGCTCACCCAGCTCCAGTTCAATCAGTCATAGAAAGATTTTTTGCAGGGAGCGAAACGGCAACGTAGCTGCTTAATGTCTTTGGGTTTTTTGACATGCCTAGTAGTTTACTCCATTGAGTGTTGACAAGAAACACGTGTAGACGAAATATGTGTTTTGTTTTGATGTTTTGAGGTACGCAAAGGCGCGTAGTGACACAAGTGACGTTACGCAATTCAGATTTGTGCCGCGCATGCGTACCTGCGTACCAGTTATGTGCACCCCTGTGTATATTGTATGACTCCATGATTGTGATGTCACTACCTGGGGTATATGACAGTTGGAGTCACGCCCCTTCTTTGTCAGTTCTCATGTCTCTTGACCTGTGTGCATCTAATAAATTACGCCGAGATGAATGGCTAAACCTGAACTGTGAGAACGGTCACCTTTCTGCTGCAGAGAGACAAAAGGTATAAGTCTAGATCTGCTAACACTTTAGTCACTGGAACGCTGCCTTGAAGAACTTCTGAATATTTCTGACTCAGTTTACCTCTTCAAACTTGATGTGAAATTCGACCCACCGCCGATATCCAGGAGACTTATCTGAACGCCCAACACACTCTGAAACACACACACACACACACACACACACATCAACACACACTCTGAAACACACACACACACACACACACACACACACACACACACACTCACACACACATCAACACACACTCTGAAACACACACACACACACACACACACACACACACTCACACACACACACACACACACACACACACACACTCACACACACACACACACACACACACCACACACACACACACACATCAACACACTCTGAAACACATACACACACACACACATCAACACACTCTGAAACACACACGCACACACACACACGCACGCACACACACACACACACACACACACACACACACACACATCAACACACTCTGAAACACATACACACACACACACATCAACACACTCTGAAACACACATGCACACACACACACACACACACACACACACACACACACACACACACACACACACACACATCAACACACTCTGAAACACATACACACACACACACATCAACACACTCTGAAACACACACGCACACACACACACGCACACACACACACACACACTCTGAAACACACTCTGAAACAAAGAGTCACATTGCGAAAACAGCGCTTGGTGACGTTCAGGATTATAAAGCTGAACAACTGTCTCAGAGTTAGTCGTCTCTTAACTGTAAGTGTTTGTCAGTGTATCTGAAACGACTAGGTTAGCTACGTTAGCTAGCTAGCTTACAGCAGATCTGCAGTAACATCAGAAGGATGTGATCACATTGTTCACGGGTCATGTGTACACATTGCCTTCTTGGCCAGGTCAGCATTGAAAATGAGATTTTATCTCGATACTTTTATCTGGTTAAATAAAGGTTAAATAAAAAAGATAAAATAATTGTTCAAATAAAACCATAAAACATTTTAGGTAACTTTCCAACAACAGAGACAGTTGTCGACCAAAAGATGATGACTCACGGCGATGTCGAAGACTTGTCGTGCGTCGGCGATGGCTTTCTGGAAGGCCTGACTCCCGGTGCAGCCGCTGCCCACGTGGAAGCTGACGCCAATCACTGTGAGGTCCAGATCTACAGCGAGACCCAGCAGCTTCTCCACCAATCCCAGACCAGCACCAAACTTAGCGCTGAGTCTCAACAGCGAATCGGAGTCATCCACCGCGATCCGGAGCACCAATCTGCAGGGGGGCGACCAAATGACGATCAATTTAGTTTTCCCTACATTGAAATACTCAAGTAAAGTACAAGTACCTCAAAATTGCCCTGAAGTACAGTACAGGAGTAAATGTACATAGTTACTGTACTGCTAATGCTAATGCTAACAGAAACCAGAACAGGTGTGCTCACCTGGCCTTGGGGTGACAGAGAGAGATCTTTCTGAGCTCTTCCTCGCTGTCAAAGGTCATCGTTTGGACTCGGTGAGTGATTTAAAAACCCCTAGGGTCTGGGCCGACCTCACATGGAGGGGCAGAGTGTTCCAGAGCCTAGGGCCAGCTGCTGCGAAGGCTCGGTGCCCTCTGGTTTTAAGCCTGGTCTTGGGCACTACCAGCAGCAGCTGGTCAGCAGACCTTAAAGCTCTGGCTGGGGTGTAGCGCTGGAGGAGTTCAGCTATATAGGCCGGAGCCAGCCCATTTAGTGCTTTAAAAACAAATAAAAGGATTTTAAAATCAATTCTGAACCGAACTGGAAGCCAGTGCAGTGAGGCCAGAATAGGGGTGATGTGGTCACGCTTTTTGTGGCCAGTCAGCAAACGTGCAGCTGCGTTCTGGACTAGCTGCAGGCGTTTAATTGAGGCCTGGTCCATACCCACATACAGAACGTTGCAATAGTCCAGTCTCGAGGTAACAAAGGCGTTAATAACCCTTTCTAAGTCATTAAAAGATAAATACGACTTGGTTTTGGCCAATAGTCTTATTTAAAAAAAGCAGGATTTGACTACAGTGCTGATCTGCTTGTCGAATTTAAAAGTGCTGGTGAAGGTCACTCCAAGGTTCATGACCGAGGGGAGGATGTTTTTTTTGAGAGACCCCAGAATATCAACCGGAGAGGCTGGAGGTTGCGGTCCAAAAAAGATGACCTCAGTCTTGCTCTCGTTGAGGTTGAGAAAGTTTTTGCTCAGCCAGGATTTTATCTCTGCTAAGCAGTCCATCAACTGCTGTAGTGAGTGTTTGACATTTGCTTTTAGAGGCAGATATATCTGTACATTGTCGGCGTAGCAGTGGAAGGGAATATTATGTTTAGTGAGAATTGAACCTAGGGGCAGTATGTACTGTAGAAAAAGGATGGGGCCCAGAATCGAGCCTTGGGGAACCCCACAGGTAAGAGGGGCTTTGGCAGAGGAGAAGGCACCTAGCTGTACCGAGAAGCTACGGTCTGTCAGGTAGGACCTGAACCATGCAAGGGCCGAGCCTGTGATGCCAGCGGACTGTTCAAGCCGTGACAGCAGGATGCTATGGTCCACAGTGTCAAAGGCAGCTGTCAGGTCTAACAGCACCAAGACAGCTGGGCTGCCTGAGTCGGCGGCTAGGAGCAGATCATTAAAAACTCTTAAAAGGGCTGTTTCAGTGCTGTGCATGGGTTTGAAGCCAGACTGAAACTTTTCATGGATTCCATGGAGGGTTAAAAAAGACTGCAGCTGGGCGTAGACTACTCGCTCCAGGGCTTTAGATAAAAAAGGTAGCTGGGAGATGGGCCTAACATTTGCGAGAATGGAGGGGTCGAGATTTTTCTTTTGAAGTAGTGGCTTAACCACGGCATGTTTGAAGGCAGCTGGGACACATCCTGAGGTAAGAGAGGTGTTTAAAAGTAATAAAATACTTGCTCCAACTGAATCAAAAACATCTCTGAGAAGGCGAGAGGGAATGCTGTCTGAGGTGCAGTTTGTCGGCCGCAGGTGCTTGACTACATCCGAGAGAGAAGAGGCTCAAAGTGGTCGAGGACAGCTGGGCACAGAATGTTGCCGTTTATTTCTAAGGAGACACGGAATTTATCCTTTTTCCATTTTCTCTCTGCACGCCTGCAAGCGCGACTGAGAGCACGAGTACAGTCATTGAGCCACGGCTCTGATAGAACTTTGGTGCGTCTAAGCGTAAAAGGAGCAACAGAATCCAGTATTAGTGTACATGTCGAGTCAAACATGGAGATAAGCTCATCAGCATTAAAAGCACAGTTCACATCTAATTTACAGATCGGAGAAGCATTAAAAACATCAGAGAACTGTGAGGCAGTCAAGGGGTTAATCGAACGCAGACGACGCGCCGGGGCACGTGATTCGACTCCTTCGGAAGGGATGGAGGTTGTAAACAGAACCGGTAAATGGTCTGAGATACGCGTTGCTGCACTTATTTCATCCACAGATACAGACAGTCCAAACGATAATACTAAGTCCAAAGTGTGTCCTTTTTCGTGTGTTGGGCCACGGCCTGAACGAGACCAAAGGAATCAAGGAGATTTAAAAAGTCCCTAACCAGAGGTTTGGACTCGCAACACACGTGGACATTGAAGTCTCCGGAGATCAAAACACGATCATATTTCACCATGATCCCGGACAGAAAGTCAGAAAAGTTATTTATGAAATCCTTATTACACTTTGGCGGACGATACACGACTGCGCAGAGTATAGGCGAGGCCGGGTTCAGTTCAAAAAGCTGCAACTCAAAGCTAGCATAGCTAGATACAGGGTGAAGCAATCGGCATTGGAGGCTAGCTCTAAACACTGATGCTATGCCCCCACCATGGCCAGTGGCACGGGGGGAGCTGAAGAATGTACAGTCAGGAGGAAGAAGTTCAGAGAACGGTGTATACTCGCCAGCGTGGACCCAGGTCTCCATCAAGAACATAAAATCCAGTTCACGAGAGGTGAAGAAGTCGTTTAGCAGGAACGTTTTGTTTGCTATCGACCTAGCATTTAGCAAAGCCATGCAAAGTTTTCGCTCCGGGCTTGCCGAAGGTGTAGTGCGTCTCAGCTGACGAAGATGTGCGTGTTGAACGCCGCGCGGGCCGAGAGCAGTCAGTCGGGCAGGAGGAGCTGCCAGTGGGCACAGCAGAGTCCGCAGCTCCGGAAAAACGGGGCGAATCCATCGATCCCTCACATGGCGTGCAGCGGGAGGGCCATGACATCCGAGGCGTGGATAAGTCCCAGAAGAAGCCGTCAGGTATGCCTTCAGATGGACCAGTGCACCACCACGCTTTCCCCGTCGTCGAAAGCGCTTTCGGCGAGGCAGGATGCAGGGCAATCGGCGCAGGTAGGTGGGGATATTCGACAGTAGAGGGGAGGGGGACGATTTATGGTTGCCAGATGTAGGTTTGGGCAGCAATATCAACTCCAGTGAGGGTCTGAGGTGGAGGAGAGCTTGGCGATCATAGACGAGCAGAGCAGAGACATTCTGACAAACATAAAACAAAAACAGGATAGCTAAAGGTAGAGAGCTGAGCGAGCGGCGGGCCGACACAGGCGCCATCTTGAATCACGTCACTACGTAAGCACGTAAAAGACACGAATGTGTGCCTATCCTTCTGGACAAAAATGTCTATTACTTTTTTGTAAAAGTCCTCCTTATCTTCTTGTAGTTTCAAAAGTCTATCATAAATCTAATCGATAGATTTATGATTAAAAAATTATAAAAGTAGGGTAGACATGTGGATGTTATCCGGCTGAACAAAACGTGCATTTATCTAACAGGTACGTTTCCCACAGATCTTATTTCGAGCTATTTTCTAAAATCCTATGGAGAAACCTCATTGCTTTTTTGTCGAGGGAAGCCATGCGCAGTTTACTTCCTGGTTTTAGGACGCGTCACTGCAGCTCTCTCGTCTCCTCTTCACACACCACACTTTTCGCGGCACACGTACTTACAGCCAATCAGCTCTGAATGATGTGAGATGACGTATGGTGGGGATGGCAGCTCAGTGCCCCTATGGTCATTATTTTTTTGCCACACACATTAAATAGGAAAATACTCTGAGCATGCGCAGTGTAGTTTTTACAGTCACCGTTCACTTAGACAGTGAGAGGGAGGGGCATGATCAGGTTTTGTCCCACATGGCTCTAAACAGATCAATAGGCACACACTGTGACTGTAGACACTAATTAGAAGAACACAGACTAAAACAGCAATGTACAGACGAATCAGATGATTAAACATGATCTTAAAATATATTTTATATATTTATATTTTTTTTTTTTGCATTTTTTGTAATCATTATTTGTAATACTTTCTGCTGACACTAGGTGGGGCTGTGCCCCACCTAGTGTCAGCTGCCACCTGCCATCTGCCATCGTCTGCCACCTGCCCCTAATGACCAGTCACCACTGGATATGACATCTGGAAACATGGATATAAAACATTCATAGTTTATTAAATGAACATGCCCTCAGACACTGTTTCCTGCAAGATGTTGCGGCAGTGCCCCGGTACCGGGGTCTCTCGGGCTTAACAGGTTAAGAAAATGGCATTTAAAAACAGTCATTAAAAAGCAAAGATAATAAAATAAACATTAAAAGAAAAAATACATGAATAAAAGTTATAGTGCAGTTTAAGATGTGAATAGTTCAATTAAAAGCAGCGGCAAAAAGCAAAGTCTTCAGCCTGGATTTTCCGCTCCCGATTCAACATGTTGAATCAGGAGGCTGTCGGCAAAAGAAATCACTCTGATTGGCTGTTCAGCTTAGCGAATCAGTGCATGAGAAGCGAAACGGAAGTGAAGAAGGCACACACAGACGGCTATTATTTTTCATTCTCCAGTACCGCACTAAACATGTTTTCGATAAGTCGCTTTGTGAAACCGTCTGTGATGGACGAGAGGGAAAATGGAACGCACGCTATTTGTTGTTTGTATATATCACGCAGTCTGTCTTCCAGTTGCCTCTTTTGAATGACGAATACACACTACCGCCGCCTGCTGGTAAGGAGAGTGCGTACGTGCTACTTGGCCGTCGGCTGAAGTCGTTGCGGTGTGTTCCAGTGCGACTGTTTGGCCAAGACGCAGGAGACGTGAGGCGACACAACAGTCGGGTCCGTCGGGACGTGTTCTTTGGTGTTTGTTTGGTGTGTAGGGGACTTTATTGATGAATATAGAGATGATGGAAACCCCCCCCCCCCCTTCTTCTTCTCCGTTGGAAATTAATGGCTGTTACTTCTGAACTCTTTACTCTCTCACTGTTTGTTGTCTGTCCTCCATGTTAGAGCATCTCTAATCCAGGCTGAGGCTGATCTGTTATGTTGTGGCGACACAACAATCGGGTTCTTTGGTGTCAGTTTGGTGTGTCAGGGCCTTTAGTGAGGAACCAGTGCAAAGACCTCAGAACTGGACTGATCCTCTTTCTTAGTGTTAGTGAGGAACCAGTGCAAAGACTTCAGAACTGGACTGATCCTCTTTCTTAGTGTTAGTGAGGAACCAGTGCAAAGACTTCAGAACAGGACTGATCCACTTTCTTAGTGTCAGTGAGGAACCAGTGTAAAGACCTCAGAACTGGACTGATCCACTTTCTTAGTGTTAGTGAGGAACCAGTGTAAAGACTTCAGAACTGGACTGATCCTCTTTCTTAGTGTCAGTGAGGAACCAGTGTAAAGACTTCAGAACAGGACTGATCCTCTTTCTTAGTGTTAGTGAGGAACCAGTGTAAAGACTTCAGAACTGGACTGATCCACTTTCTTAGTGTTAGTGAGGAACCAGTGCAAAGACCTCAGAACTGGACTGATCCTCTTTATTAGTGTCAGTGAGGAACCAGTGTAAAGACTTCAGAACAGGACTGATCCTCTTTCTTAGTGTTAGTGAGGAACCAGTGTAAAGACTTCAGAACTGGACTGATCCACTTTCTTAGTGTTAGTGAGGAACCAGTGTAAAGACTTCAGAACTGGACTGATCCACTTTCTTAGTGTTAGTGAGGAACCAGTGTAAAGACTTCAGAACTGGACTGATCCTCTTTCTTAGTGTTAGTGAGGAACCAGTGTAAAGACTTCAGAACAGGACTGATCCACTTTCTTAGTGTTAGTGAGGAACCAGTGTAAAGACCTCAGAACTGGACTGATCCTCTTTCTTAGTGTTAGTGAGGAACCAGTGTAAAGACTTCAGAACAGGACTGATCCTCTTTCTTAGTGTCAGTGAGGAACCAGTGTAAAGACTTCAGAACTGGACTGATCCTCTTTCTTAGTGTCAGTGAGGAACCAGTGTAAAGACTTCAGAACTGGACTGATCCTCTTTCTTAGTGTCAGTGAGGAACCAGTGTAAAGACTTCAGAACTGGACTGATCCTCTTTCTTAGTGTCAGTGAGGAACCAGTGTAAAGACTTCAGAACTGGACTGATCCACTTTCTTAGTGTTAGTGAGGAACCAGTGTAAAGACTTCAGAACTGGACTGATCCACTTTCTTAGTGTTAGTGAGGAACCAGTGTAAAGACTTCAGAACTGGACTGATCCACTTTCTTAGTGTCAGTGAGGAACCAGTGTAAAGACTTCAGAACTGGACTGATCCACTTTCTTAGTGTCAGTGAGGAACCAGTGTAAAGACTTCAGAACTGGACTGATCCACTTTCTTAGCAGCGTTCTGAATTAGCTGCAGCTTTCTTATAGATGTTGTAGTGAAACCAGTTCAAACTGGATCAGGGTGTTAGAGAGCAAGGACCTGACTGTAAGATCTGCTCTGTTGGTACAGATGACACTGACCTGCACCCGCAGACACACAGGTAAATATACTTAACCTGTTAAGCCAGAGAGACTCCGGTACCGGGGCACTGCCGCAACATCTTGCAGGAAACAGTGTCTGAGGGCATGTTCATTTAATAAACTATGAATGTTTTATATCCATGTAACGGGAAGAAACTCATCTAACTGATCTTTTTTTTTTTTTTTCAAAATAAAACCCACAATGCTAACACTGAGTCTCTGAATTAGCAACGAGCGAAAAATGCCAACAGATTACTGCACCGAAAATCACTCACAAAACCTTATTATTTATCTTTTCTGCACATCCATGACATCGATTCACATCGTGAGGTGACACAGAATCGAAGGATACCCTCATTATCACTCAATTATACGAAATCGCGACGTTATAAACAAAAACAGACATCAAAACAAGTGGCGCTAGGTAGCTAAAAATGCTAACATGGTTACCTTGTCTCTGTCGTCTGCTCAAAAGTGGTCTTCAATGGCATTAAAACGATAAAAACGCTGCTGAAGTTAATCCATAGGTTAATCCAATGTGTCTGTGTCCCTTATAAATGATTTCTGATAATCCATAAGCATTAAAACTGCTTTTCCGTTTCCAGATGTCAAAGCTAGAGATAGCTTCACTCTCATGCAAAACTACATGCGCAAAGCCCCCACCTTTTTGTTTTACAACGAGTGTGTGTGGGGGAATCCCCCTTCGATTCTATTGGCTCTAACGGTCAGAAAGAGGTGTCAACCATCAAAATCGACAAAGGGGGGCCAGAGATATGGGAAAAAAAACATTTCCACCCAAATGACCCCAGAAGTGCTAAAAAGGTCAGATTTCACTTGTTTTGCATCAATCTTGATACAGGGTACTTATTATATGTTGTACTTTGGATTCCTAAAGCTTTTAGTCTACTAACCCATCATCCAAGGGTAGTTTTCACTATAAGTAAAAAGGAATTTTTGGACGGACACTATAATTTACAGTTTTTTACTATGTAAATTCTGAATTTTCTTTAAAATAAAAAACATCTATATTGTTCTGACTTTTCTACATCCAACTCACAGGTTTATCATTACTTTGAGAAAAAAGATTATTAATTTAACCCTTTTAGAAGGGAAGATACTGTCATTTGTTCTGGGAATGGCATTTTCGAGCCTGAGACCTGAAAAACAGGCTCAGGGCTTAAGAGGTTAACAATCCCAACGCAGTACACATGTTCACTCAACCGGCGCTTTACATTATATGTATAAGACATGTAATACATTCATACTATAATGTCAACAGATTTCACACTGTATTAGGTTGGATAAAAGCAATAATATTACGTTTAAATACAAAATATTAGGTTCAACTTAATACTATTGCTTGCAACTGACCTAATACAGTTAGTACGTTAGTTAGATCATTTATGCAATTTTGTTTCACCTAATTCCCTTTAACTTGTTATGACTTCTCTCTCTCATGTGTATTCCGTTTAGACCCGCCCCTACCCTGCCTCTGATTGGCTAACCCTAATCCACAAAATCTCACTCCTCGTGCCTAAACCTAGCCAATCAGAGTAGGGGCGGGTCTTCACAGAAAACGCTTGGGACACAAAATCAAGCTTTTTCACTGCTCACGTAAAGGCGAGTGGATTTATGGCAGGCAGTGAACCAACGATAAAAATAATCGAATCGTTCGCGAACGTAACATCACTAGAAGGGTTTGACTGGTCCCTGATCTAAAGTACTGATGGTCTTTGGTACCTTGCTGGCGCAGTCGAACCCGGTGCTCAGCGCTCTCAGGACCCTCAGCACGGCGGGGGTGTTGTTGCACTTCACGGCGTAGAAAGGCTTCACTCGAGGGAGGAGAGTCAGCCACTGCTGGTGACGATCGATCACAGACTGGAGGTCCGCCACCAAGAACGGCTCCTCGCTGTCCTGGAGGGAGTATTCAGATACTTTACCTGAGTAAAAGTACTAATACTGCACTGAAAAACACTGAAAAACACTGAAAAACACTGAAAATACTGAAACGTGGACTTCAGATGCATGTGGGCAGGTCCCGCAGCATCAGGACTAAAACCTCCAGACTCAGAGACAGTTTCATCCCACAGGAAATAAGACTGTCAAACTCCTGAGCTCTGTGAAGAACATCCATAAACATTCATCTGTTTGCATCTTGTTTCAACAGTTACTTTATCACTTTATAACTTCATCACCTTATCTTTTTGTTTTATTATTAGTATTTTATTCTATTTTATCTTTATTTTTTACCTTGTGTGAAACCTGCTTTTCACTCTGACCCTGTTGCTGCTATAAACGCCTGAATTCCCCCACGGGGATAAATAAAGTTCCATCTTATTACATGACATGTTACTTGTTAGACGCTTTGATCCAAAGCGACTTACAGACTCAATACTGTGGACAATCCCCACAGGAGCACTTTGTGGTGAAGTGTCTCAGGGACACAACGACATGCTGACTGCAGCGGGGTTTGAACCTGTGCTCCCCTGATCCAAACACCAAGGCTCTATCCACTGCGCAACAAGATGTAGAAGTAGAAGAAATTCTACTTGACCTGCGTCTGCGGTTGTGCACATACACAAAGAACCACTTGGAGTCATTGTGTATATATGTATGTATGTATGTAAATATATATATATATATATATATATATATATATAACCCAACTCATTTTCTCCTCAACCGATCTGGCCACCAGGTCTGTGCCCGCGTCACGGCTTCAACGGGACATTAAGAACTGTAACGTGTTAATTCTCACTGAGACTTGGCTCAACTCCTCTATCCCGGACTCCGCCATTGTTCCAGAAGGCTTCACTATATTTCGCCAGGATCGGACTGCTAATTCAGAGAGGAGCAAGGGAGGTGGTGCGTGCGTCATGACAAACAATAACTGGTGCACAGATGTGGGGATTATTTCTTCGGTCTGTTCCCCTCATTTAGAGCACCTCATGATCACATGCCGGGCTTTTCACCTGCCGAGAGAATTTACATGCGTGGTGATTACAGCTGTGTATATTCTGCCCTTGCAAGAAGCCTGTATTTCTCCTTTGAAGGCTTCTTGCTGAATGCAGCGGATGATTATTATTTTTGCCTGCATGAGCTCATCTGCTTTTGACTTATCCCCCTTTTTACCTCTGGAACAAGATCTGACTCTCCAGATAAGTTTGGCCACTGCTTGGGTGAGTAGCTCCCAGCTGGAAAAGCGCTCAAGTCTGTGTGAACCTAGCTGCGTTTCAGAGGTTGTTGTAGCAAAGGTCGTAATTACCGGTCGCACATCTGTGTCCAAGTCCGGTTCGACAAGCCCAAAGATCTTTTCCTGAGGAGGTGCTCCTTCATCTTTTTTCAGAAAGGAAGGACCTGAAAACCAGTTTGTACCTCCTAAGAACATAGCTGGTACATACCGTGTACCATGATCTGCAGGATTGTGCTCTGTGCTGATGAAGTGCCACTGTTCAGGACTGGTTGACTTTCGTCTGCGTGTAACTCTGTTACACATAGAACCTCCGGTTGTTGTTGTGAATGTAGCCCAACACAACTTTACTGTCTGTGTAGAACCTCAGTGTGTCAATTTTGATATCCAGCTCTTCTACCAACAGCTCAGATAGTTCGACTGCCAGCACAGCTGCACAAAGTTCCAGACGAGGCACAGTACGAGTGTGACGTGGTGCTAGTTTAGATTTTCCCATGCAGAATCCAACGTGAACATGTCCCTTACTATCGATTGCTCTGAGGTAGGCCACTGCAGAGATGGCGGTAGTGGATGCATCCGCAAACACAAAGTTATTTGAACTGTGTGGATAGTAAGGAAACAGGTAAGTAAGTCCTGGGAATCTGAAGTAGCTCAAGTTCCATAAGTGAGTCTTTCCAAGACTTCCACTGTGTCTCTTTTTCGGCAGGTAATGGTTCATCCCACTCACAGTTTTCCGTACAGAATTCTCTGAGTAAAGCCTTGACTTGAACTGTTATTGGGGCCACAAAGCCCAAGGGGTCAAACAGGCTGTTGACTGTTGAGAGCACTCCACGTAAAAGGCTTCTCTTCCCTGGACACAAGGAAGGTGAATGTATCAGTTTCAAGGTTCCAGCTGAGGCCTAAACTCCTCTGCAAGGGGAGAGGATCTATTCCTAGTTCAAGGTCCTTCAGATCTTTAGCACGTTCCTGTGGTTTGAAGCTACCTTGTGTAGTCTAATGTTTGAATCAGCTAACATTGTTCTTGATTTTTTCAGCACATGAATGGCCTCGTCGTCAGTATGGAAAGAGGAGAGTCCATCGTCAACATAAAAGTTCCTCATGATGAACCGCTTTGCCTCCTTTCCCTGTTCCTCCTGGTCTTGACAGGCAGCTCTTCTTAAGCCGTAGATGGCAACCGCTATTGCCAAACACGTGGACTGTCATGCGATACTCTTTGACTCTTTTGGCAGGGTCATTGTCCTCAAACCATAGGAAACGTAAGAAGTTGCGATGCTCCTCACAAACTTTGAAGCAGTAGAACATTTGCTCTATGTCTACAGCAACAGGTTCCTTACGGAAGTGAGTGAGGACACCCAAGAGTGTATTGTTGAGATCTGGACCAGTCAACAGAACGTCATTAAGTGAGATGCCGTCTTGCTTGGCACTGGAGTCGAACACCGCTCGAATCTGACCTGGCTTGCGTGGATGATAGACTCCAAAGATTGGTAGATACCAACACTCTTGCTCTTCACTGAGAGGCAGCGCAGGTTCAGCATGACCAGACTCAAAGATCTTCCTCATGAAAGTGATAAAATGTTCCTTCATGTCTGGCTTTTTTTTAAGCATGTGGCGTAACGTCAGGAGACGCTGGACAGCTTGTGCTCTGTTGTTGGGGAGTTTACATCTTTGTTCTCTGAAAGGTAAAGGTGCTACCCAACTATTCGAGTCATCCATGAAGACTTCTCTGTCCATTATTTCCAGGAAGATTATGTCTTCTACAGACATGGCAACCTTGTCATCATGTGGTGTCCGCTGGAAAACTCCTTTTCCAAGGTTGTCCTTTTTATCGAACAGATTGTTCATCTCTTTAGCTCTTGGAAAATGGTGGTGAAGAGTTGGAGTATCCACTCTCTCTTTGATGTGCAGACTGTTCTTGCAAGGGTCAAAAAGAGACGTACGTCCATTTATCAGCACGTTGGTCCTGTAGACATTGATGCAGTCTAGTTAGTGACTTCTCCTATGATCACCCAACCCAGGTCGAGGCGTTGAGCATACGGGGTGTTGTGGGGTCCATCTAGTGCAGGGATGTTGTCCTCAACCCGGTTGAGATGTGTGTAGTGTTTTGCGATCTCAGGCGTGGGAATTTCAGATTTGTCATCTGGGAGCATATCACATTCGATTAGAGTGGGAAGTGAAATACACTTTTGTCATCCAATGCCTCCATTATGTAATTGTTTGCTCGTCACCCTGAGGTTTCAAAGACTCCTGAACATGTCTTCAGTGTGTAGGATGCTGTGTCATCATTAACGTCAAAGAGTTCAAAAAACTCTGTTTTTGCAAAGGACTTATTGCTCTGCTCATCTAGGACAACATACATTTTGACAGCTCTCTCTCTCTGGCCTGCTGGATACACTCTGACTAGACAAATCCTGGTGCATGATCTTGGCCTTACTTCAGTCCCACAGATGTCAGTGCATTTTGACGTGACAGCGAAAGGAGGAGATTCGTCTTGCTCCCCGCCTTGATATCTTGAGGTTACGGCGGCCCCTCTTGTCCATGGAGCCGGTCCTGGATGTAGTGCAGTAGGGTGGCGGTCACTGTTGCACTCTCTGCTCTGAACCTTTTTGTCACAGTCTTTGGTTTGGTGGCTGGTTGATGCACAACACCTAAAGCAAATGTTTGAATCCTTAAGATAGGCCTTTTCTCTCATCCAGAGATTTGTACCTGAAACCACGGCATTTCCTGAGAGGGTGTGGTTTGTGGTGGACTGGACATTGCTTATCTGGGTCGACAGCTCTTTTTGCTGCTGAGCTTTCATAGCTGTTATCAAAGTCTGCTGAGACCTCTGTCCTCCTTACTGAGACTGGCGTTCTCATGTTGAGTTTGAAAGGCTTCTCAGTCTTGCTTATACTCGGACCACCTGGGAGCTGGGCAAAGCTTGGATCATTGAGTATCTTGGCTTGGTCACAAACATACTTTGCAAAGATGAAGAATGGTGGATACGATACTCCGTGTGTTTCTTTGTAACGTGATGCTAGAGAGACCCACTTGTCATGCAGGGAATATGGCAGCTTTTGGACGATTGGAGTTATGCCACAAGATGTGTCTAGGTAGTTCAGACCAGGCAGAAATCCATCTGCCTTGGCGGCTTCAAGCTCCAGAAGAATGTCTCCCAGCTCCCTCAACTTTAGATTTTCTCTGTTGTTGATTTTTGGGAAATCATCGACTGCATTTTCTATTGCTTCAGGTGACCCATAACAATCTTCCAACCTTTGCCATAGCATATTGACACCTGCTGCTGCATTATGGATGTGAACCGATCTGATTCTCTTTGCATGTTCAGAGAATTTCGGTCCAAGCCATTTACACGGTTGTTGTTGTGAATGTAGCCCAACACAACTTTACTGTCTGTGTAGAACCTCAGTGTGTCAATTTTGATATCCAGCTCTTCTACCAACAGCTCAGATAGTTCGACTGCCAGCACAGCTGCACAAAGTTCCAGACGAGGCACAGTACGAGTGTGACGTGGTGCTAGTTTAGATTTTCCCATGCAGAATCCAACGTGAACATGTCCCTTACTATCGATTGCTCTGAGGTAGGCCACTGCAGAGATGGCGGTAGTGGATGCATCCGCAAACACAAAGTTATTTGAACTGTGTGGATAGTAAGGAAACAGGTAAGTAAGTCCTGGGAATCTGAAGTAGCTCAAGTTCCATAAGTGAGTCTTTCCAAGACTTCCACTGTGTCTCTTTTTCGGCAGGTAATGGTTCATCCCACTCACAGTTTTCCGTACAGAATTCTCTGAGTAAAGCCTTGACTTGAACTGTTATTGGGGCCACAAAGCCCAAGGGGTCAAACAGGCTGTTGACTGTTGAGAGCACTCCACGTAAAAGGCTTCTCTTCCCTGGACACAAGGAAGGTGAATGTATCAGTTTCAAGGTTCCAGCTGAGGCCTAAACTCCTCTGCAAGGGGAGAGGATCTATTCCTAGTTCAAGGTCCTTCAGATCTTTAGCACGTTCCTGTGGTTTGAAGCTACCTTGTGTAGTCTAATGTTTGAATCAGCTAACATTGTTCTTGATTTTTTTCAGCACATGAATGGCCTCGTCGTCAGTATGGAAAGAGGAGAGTCCATCGTCAACATAAAAGTTCCTCATGATGAACCGCTTTGCCTCCTTTCCCTGTTCCTCCTGGTCTTGACAGGCAGCTCTTCTTAAGCCGTAGATGGCAACCGCTATTGCCAAACACGTGGACTGTCATGCGATACTCTTTGACTCTTTTGGCAGGGTCATTGTCCTCAAACCATAGGAAACGTAAGAAGTTGCGATGCTCCTCACAAACTTTGAAGCAGTAGAACATTTGCTCTATGTCTACAGCAACAGGTTCCTTACGGAAGTGAGTGAGGACACCCAAGAGTGTATTGTTGAGATCTGGACCAGTCAACAGAACGTCATTAAGTGAGATGCCGTCTTGCTTGGCACTGGAGTCGAACACCGCTCGAATCTGACCTGGCTTGCGTGGATGATAGACTCCAAAGATTGGTAGATACCAACACTCTTGCTCTTCACTGAGAGGCAGCGCAGGTTCAGCATGACCAGACTCAAAGATCTTCCTCATGAAAGTGATAAAATGTTCCTTCATGTCTGGCTTTTTTTTAAGCATGTGGCGTAACGTCAGGAGACGCTGGACAGCTTGTGCTCTGTTGTTGGGGAGTTTACATCTTTGTTCTCTGAAAGGTAAAGGTGCTACCCAACTATTCGAGTCATCCATGAAGACTTCTCTGTCCATTATTTCCAGGAAGATTATGTCTTCTACAGACATGGCAACCTTGTCATCATGTGGTGTCCGCTGGAAAACTCCTTTTCCAAGGTTGTCCTTTTTATCGAACAGATGTCATCTCTTTAGCTCTTGGAAAATGGTGGTGAAGAGTTGGAGTATCCACTCTCTCTTTGATGTGCAGACTGTTCTTGCAAGGGTCAAAAAGAGACGTACGTCCATTTATCAGCACGTTGGTCCTGTAGACATTGATGCAGTCTAGTTAGTGACTTCTCCTATGATCACCCAACCCAGGTCGAGGCGTTGAGCATACGGGGTGTTGTGGGGTCCATCTAGTGCAGGGATGTTGTCCTCAACCCGGTTGAGATGTGTGTAGTGTTTTGCGATCTCAGGCGTGGGAATTTCAGATTTGTCATCTGGGAGCATATCACATTCGATTAGAGTG